CCCAACGAATTCGGCATTTCGCGCAAGTCGCAAGTCAAGCCCCTTGACCGTTATTTTTTCCTCGTCTCCAAACCTTTTTTTCAGCCCCTCCCACCCTCTTTCTGCAAACCGAGAGAGGGGTGGCCACAAACCCCACCTACGGCCGAAAGCAACCTATTTCGCATAATGCATGTGCGACACATGAACCCACACCGTTCCACGTCATGTAAACAACATGCTTAACGGGGGACTTGTAAGCGATTGCTGCACTCTTAAGCCGACTTCTTGGCGTTTTGTAGTTCTCATCGGGGCCGTATCCGCGCCTCCGTGTCAATTGTAGTTCGCTCTGGCATGTTATGAACTTCTAGGTACATTGATGAGAGAGCGGACGTCATAAAGGGTAGGATATATCATAAAACAGTTTGGTTTTACGATATATCGGAGACTATAGAGAAGTTTCTCAGATCAAAAACTTTCGTGTTGAGACCCAAATTTTTGGCTACAGTAATCCCAACCGATTACAAATCGGATGAATTGGAGATGTTGGCAAAGATCTATTTTCTCAAGGCACCAAAAATACCCACCACCTACTCGCGTATGAAATCCACACGCTATTCTGCAAAAGTTGCAAGATTTGAGCAAAAAATCTCAAAAAATTTTTGCTATCCCCAAATCTTTTCCGGCTAGCCCGCATCATCCACGCAGCGAATCAATTATCCCGTTGTTGATTAAATATGTTCCTTAACATCGAAATCATTGAATATTCGAGGCGGATTTGCCGCCGCTGACAATCGACCCTCGGGGCGCGCGCACGCGAGGATCCACGTGAAATCATAATTCGTAAGTGTTTCTATTCAGCGCTCCCCTCTCTTTGCCGTGATCTTTGGGGGATGTAGGGGGGAAAAAATTTTGTGGGCGGAACCTCGGGGCATTTTTTTGTTTACTTTCCACCCCGAAGAACAAATATTCTAGAAGACGCCCGCCAATGATGTTACTATAAGGCGGGCATTATGCAGTCGTCGGCTTGGGATTCGGCCCCTAATTGGGCATAAATATTTTTTCGGTTGTGGCCGCCGTTTTCTTTGTTTTACACATTTTATTTTCGTATTTTCGGGGGTCACAATGAATTACATTTTTTTGGATATCGCCTTTACTATGGCGACATTGTAGCGTCTTTGTCGCTAGAACAAAATAAACCCCGATTTAAAGTCGTTTATTGTCATTTTCGCGGCTTTTCGACCTTCAAAACATTCCATTTCCAAAAATTTGGGTATTTTCGGTATTGCGGGTATTGTTCGGCATTTACGAAAGTTTCTCTTTGTCCTGTTGCAAATGATCCTTAGAAATATTTTTGAGCATTTCCGAGACGCTAATTGTCATCATTACGCACGATTCGATTGTTTTGCCAATTTTGTATGCCAAGGAAAATGTTGAGTCCGATTTTTTTCAAACTTTGCAAACACATTCTTAATAGGCCATATATAAATCTGCGAAAAGTTTAGTTCCGGATTGCACATGCCCTCTCAGATATTCAATATTTTTTTCAGGGAGTACGCAAACTGAGGAGAGTCGGGAAGACATAGACAAAAAAAAGAGTTTTCTCGTTAGAACTTTTTCGCTCTTTCGCCTAAAGCGCTGATATTTTTCGAGTAATATTGTTCATGATTACTGATCTACCCTCTAATTTTGCGAAGCAAAAAATCTCAGATTTTCTGCCAAAATTCATCTCAAAACATACATCTCAGTCTGTCGGGAAAATAATATGCCCTCTGTCGCCCTGAAAAACACGAGGGTTTATTATTTTCCAGACAGACTGTTATCCTCACACGTCATCAAACATTGACAAGTTGACGGCTTAGCTTGAGGATTGCGCTCGTCATTACCTTGATTATCCATCAGCCTAATTACTGTGCTAATCAAAAATATTGACTGGGGGGCTTTAGGCGGATTGCTGCCGCAGCGGCGGAATGTGCCATGGATAGAGTAGTTTAGTGTTTTTGCAAATCCCCAAAAATCCGTTCATATCGGATGTGACACTCCAGGTTTACGACCGGTGCCGTGTTCCTGTTTATCCCCTCGAATTTGCCTGAGGCAATAATCGTCGTACACTGTAATTAATCCAAATTTTTTTTGCCGAAACATTCACTGGTCAGTTACCGTAGCCCATAAGCTAAAATTAAATTCAATTCGGTCCGAAAAACGGTGTTTACCCTCGCCGATTATCCATTGCAAGTGTTTTGTAAAGTTTTTCGCAAATTTCACCACAAATTGTATACTTTACTGCGGAAACTTCGAGTAATAGCCATTATACTCGCGCCTGCAGCATTTTTCTCGTATAAATACGAAGAGCTTAGCTGAGTACTTTTGCTTCAACACCTGAACCTTTGCGGCGAACAAAGTGGGCCAATGTAATTGTGTTTCGGGTCGTTGCATTTCATACACATAACGAAATTATTTCGCAAATTCTTTGATTTGTATGTAAACATAATGAATTTACAATTGACAGAGGCACCAAGGTTTACGAAACTTAGTTTTTCTTCGCTCTGTACGACTTTTTATTTAGGGGCAAGTGCAATGTGCGGTCAAGTTTCTAACTTTGTATTTTTGCGCCAAAACTTATATTTTTTAAAAAATTTTACTCTGTTGACCTATCTTCTATACAACAATCAATTTTGAAGCCGTTTGCCCTTTTCCAGACAGTTATACGACTATATTTTCCTTGTACATGGTCATCTGGACCTGGATGAAAACTTTTGCTCATAACTTGACAAATACATAGACAAAGCCAATAAAAAATACATTTCTGGAGTCTATGTGACCTCTATTTTTTATTTGTGCCATTTAGATTCTCAACGCCCTCAGGGCTTTTTAAAATTTAAGCTTTCCACTGAGTATCAAGCTTTTTTTGTTGATTTTAAAAAAGTCTCAATTTCTTGGTTCTCTCGCAAACAAGATGTACAAAAATGTATTATGCAGATCGCCTGAGGCTATTTTCTCTCTAAAATGCAATACCCCTGGAACCATGAGCTCTGTGGGTTGTGAAAATGTAACTTTCGCAGTCTTCATCCCCTCATTTCCAAGGTTATATGCCAAAGCAGGCGGTTTGGTTCAAAACAATCCCAGCTCCAAAACTTGTTCTCGGCCATTCAAATCTCCGAAACGTACGCACCCAAGCCCCGCATGGAAGCGCAGGGGAGCATTAGGGAGTCCGGCGCAGTACGTCGGCTTTGTTTTTGGTCTCTTATGCACGCGGCTACAGTGTAAATGTGTTATTTTTTATGCAGGCTCCGCTCTCTGAACCCCGCTTTGCATAAAGATCCTTTTCGCGAACCTCACAACACCTCCCCCTATTCTCCGAGAGGATATATATCAAAACGAAGACAAAAAAAATTCTTTTAACAATATGCCCCGCGGCCGAGAAGGGGCGTGGTCTGCGCTGTGTGGTGGGGATTAGTAATTCATTACCGACCAAGTCCGTATGACTCCATGCAGGTGTTTCGGGCCGCGGTTTTTGCCCTTTTAGCAGACGGTTGTGCGCCGCGTTTCAAACACCGTAACCGTTTTTTCGCGGCGTGACAAATCTTTCGGCAACTGTTTTTTTTATTCTCGCAATATACACCTGGCCAATCGAGGGTTCGGAGGCTTCGCCCGCGGTGGGGTTTATTTTGGTCTGCTGTTTGAAATGTGAATTTGTTACTCTATATAATTTTTGTGTAAACCTCAAAGTTAAGGTCAAATTTGTTTCTAAAAAGAGTCTCAACGAGAGCTAGAACATTTTTAGTGAATTCCCTAGCAGACTGTATGCAACAAGCTTCTTTTACAGGGTAGGGCATCTTTGTGGCCCGATTTGAATTGGCTATAACTTCTTTAGTTTTTGGCCAAATCTTAAAGTTCTTTTTTTCCTCTGAATCCTCAGACATCCACATTTTGTTTGATACCAAACACACCGTACTCCATTTTCGAACACACAGTGAAGACCGAAAAAATTAACTCCAAAATTAAATCCAATAACTGTAGATAACACTTATCTATGTATAACATACATATGGTATCAAACAAAATGGGGTTGTCTGAGGATTCAGGGAAAAAAAGAATTTTAAGATTTGGCCAAAAACTAAAGAAGTTATAGCCAATTAAAATCGGGCCACAAAGATGCACCACCCTGTATGTTCATTTTATAACCCATGAAGATCTCCTTTAACACAGGTTAGGCTCACTTTCGAACTTTCAACCCGTTTAATCCCCAAATCCCTCTGCTTCTATCAAATCCGCTAGACAAATCAACTGTAACCCCCTGATAATTCGATTGTTTGTTCGCCCCAACCCTACAGTAATCTCACACTTCTCTCCACCTCTTCCGTCTTCCCGCGATATCCGCCCTTATCATGCGATGCGCATTCCTAATGGGATAACTGCGATTGGCACATATGAAATGTGCAGAACGAGTCTTTGCCAGACTCCGGTGTTGTTACAGTCGCTTTTAGTTTGTGTTTTGAAAGCCCCCCACGGCTCGGGTGATGTTCTAAATCCAATGTTTTATGGATGTGAGGGAGAGTTAACCCGGTGGGACAGAGATTATCGCGATTTGCACATCATTTCCGTTGGCGGCAGCGGTTTCGCAACAAATGAGCGGTTTACCTAATCCCATTCTTACATTTGCAAACTTTTCGGGTTTTCGGGTAATCCGACTGCGTTTTCGCAAAATCTTACTCCGTCTTTTTGCCGCTATTTGTAGTATGTATTCCATTTCGCGGCTATTTCCATCGTTAATCTATGCAAATTTGATTAATCTTACAATTGCGTGTCGTTTCGAGTATGTAATGTCCCCACAACTACCTATAATCCAACTACCGCACCTTCAGATCTCAAACTTTAATCGCTGGAACGCCGCCTATTTATAGCGCTCACTTATTTCATCTTTAACTTCCAAAAACCTAATTCATTCCACCCACCAACAAAAAAGAGCGAGAAGAGAACGCCCCGTAAATTTGGACATATCATAACCAACGAAGAGAAGCTAAATGACGTCCATCGACTCGACGACACGTTACTGTGCCATGCGGCCGTCCTGTTCGCAGGAGCCCGAGCACGACGACAACGAAATCTGCAGCTCATCATCGACGACGAGTGCGAGGAAATGCTTGCCGAATAGGACAACGCCGAAGACAGCTGGATATGTAGGTTCTAGCGGCTTTAACTAGCTTTGGTTCACCTTTAAATGTGCCTAGTTTTCGAAGTCTATACGACGCTTTTCAATTACTAATCGGCATATTGCTTTAGAGCCTCCCATCAGTCAAGTGGACCTTTTTGTTAACCCTTTTGTGCAGTCTTGCCAACCCCATCTTCAGTCGGCACGTTGAAGGGGCCAAACTAAAAGACGAATGCTTCCATCGGTACCAAAACAAAGACCATCACACCAGTCTGGCGGAGTGGATTCACCGCAAAAACACGTCTCACTATTCACCAATCATCCCCAGTTATTCTCAAGCCCTGATCAAGATTGAGGTAAGTCAACAGTCTTATATGAAAACTATATATGAAAACTACAGAGGGGGGCCTGATCCAGTCGCAAGAAACGTACCATTTTGCATCCGGGAAGAGTCAGAAATGTGGCAAAATGCTTTTCTTGCCAAGTGAAAAAAAAACTCCAATGCGCTCTTTCCCTCACAAAAAGAGCGGGCGCGCTTTTGAAACGGAGTTTTTTCACTTGAAGAAGGAGGTATTTTGCCACATTTTTGATACTTCCCGGATGCAAAATGGTACGTTTTTGCAACTGGATCAGGTCCGCCACTATATAAGTCATAGAGCGTGTTGTATGGCGCTTTACAAGACCCCTAGAGAACTTTTCAACTCAGGACAACACCCTAAATCCGGCCCTCTATCAAGCCGTCTTGTACAAGATAGAAACTCGCAATAATCCAATTTTTTCAGCTGGACAACCTGAAAGACGGAGAACAAGTGACAGCGGGCTCCTCCTCATGCAACTCCCGCCGCCAAACCACGGTGACCGCCGAGACGCCGCTGCGCGAACGTGCGCTATGCAAATTCGAATACATCTTGAACTATAACCCCAAGGTGAGTTCGTATCCCGACCGTAATTAGCGAGCAACATGTCATTCGGCGCCGGTCACGCAATGACTTTGTAAGCCGAGTAAAGGGCGGGCGAATGCCTCGGAAACATTTTGAAATTAAAGATCTAGCCCGAAAACGGCGAGTTTTGGCTGTAACATGCACATATTCGATGCAAATACTTTAATTTTTCAGCGAATCCCCGCAGCATTAACTGAAGTCAAATGCTCCTGTCCGCGGCCCTCGACCCGACTGGTCGGGCGGCGGATATTCGAGTGCGAACCGCTCAAATACCAAGTCCGCGTCCTCATGTTCGACGAGGAATGTCAGAGCTACGTGGAACAGACGGAGGAGGTCGCATTGGGCTGTATCCCCGTCGTGCAGGTGAGAAATTTACAAATCTGTCGCCTTACACACTATATTTCTATTTCGCACCATGTCACGCACTTACCGTAGTAGTCGTATTCGCATACGACGAATACGGTAGTTATAGTAATTTTGGCCTAACCAGAGGTGGATCAGATCCGTTTACAATGGCGGACCTGATCCAGTGGCAAAAAACGTACCATTTTGTATCCGGGAAGTACCCAAAATGTGGCAAAATACCTCCCTCTTCAAGTGAAAAAAAAACTCCGATTTCAAAAGCGCGCCCGCTCTTTTTGTGAGGGACCCTTCAAAACGGAGTTTTTTTCAGTTGGAGAGGGAGGCATTTTGCCACATTTTTGATACTTCCCGGATGCAAAATGGAACGTTTTTTGCTACTGGATCAAGTCAGTCACTGTAGGCCAAAAATTACTGTTTAATTTTCCCTAAATCTTCTCTACAATAGATACATGTCGTCTAGATACGATATGTTTCTGTTTGCGAAAATCTTAGCATCGCTTTCCAACCGAAAGAAAACTTATCGCCCTTATCGCGTCGCGACATTTCGAATCCAATTACCGTAGCCAATTCCAATAAAGATCTCGGCACAAACCGATTAATTTCCTGGAATCCGCGAAGCCCTTTGAAGCCAGGGAGAAAGCGCGGAGGAAACCTCGCAACTTTCGCACGCTTACGACAAAAATCGGACCAAATTTAATCCGCTGGTCTTCGGCCATTCGAAGACATAATAAAGGTGTTACGTGCGCAAGACGTAAATATTATAGTAATCTATACGTTTTGGTGCGCAGTAGGAACAAATTTTAGGCAAAATCCGGAATTTATAATTCGCGGCACAGTGCGAAAATTTGAGGTTTATTTTTCGCACCGTGCGAAAAATTGATTCAAAAATTTTGCACCGTGCAATTAATGAAATTCCAAATTCTGCACTGTGCAGAATTAGGAATTTAACAATTTGCACAATGCGAAATTTAAAAATCATTTTTTTCATCTGCACGGTGCGAAAAACAACTTTTCAAAATCTGCACCGTGCACTTTTTCAAACGACCTTTTCTCTCAAAAAAATCGGAGATTTTCCCTTTGGAATTGCCACCATATTTACGTAATAGCCCCAGGGGTTATCCGACTAGACATGAAGACCCTGCGCCGCACCGTGCCCGAACCCCAAACAAAAGTTTCCCTTGCACTGTGCAGTCATCCAAATTTTGTCTGGCTTCCGCACAGTGCAAGAAAATACCAAAAATTTTGTTGTAAATCTCTTGTAAATCGTAGTCAATTCTTTCCTCGCACTGCCTTCAAACCCAACCGGTTACCCGAACAACAATATGATTTAAGTTTCAGGCGAATGTGAACAACGACGGCGACACCGAGGCCGACTTCATGATACCCATCAAGGCGGAGGTGCCGAGCAAATAGTCGACCGCAAACCCCACCGTTCGCCCTTCCCCGCATGCCCATGGAACCTTGCTCGCTATGGTTTCAAGGAAACGTCCAAGTACCTCAGCCATCTTCGTATTGTTTTGTCCCCAATTTATTTATGTTATATTCAGTCGTCCAGAAAGTTCGTTCGTTTTTTTTTGCTTTTTATTTGTTGTTTGGCAAAGGGTATATATGTGTTTGATACAGCCAGTTTTGTAGAGGAGAAAAAGCTGTATCAAATGAATATATTCCATTTGCCAAAGAACAAACAATCCTTGTAAAACAAAGCAATGAAAAAAACGAACGAACTTTCTGGACGACCACTAGAGTTTTTGTTGATTTGACGTCGGGAAATCTTGTCAAACACCAATTTCTAGCTCTAAAATCAAATTTCCAGGCCTCTCACTTCATTTCAGAGGCTTTTTTCGTCAAATTTTGGGCGATTTCAGCATTTTGTTTACCAAAAAATTGAAAAATTTTCCAAAAAAATTGAAAAATTTTCCAAAAATTTCGTAAAAATCGCAAATTTTAGGCGAAATTGACAACATTTCCCCACGATTCCCTGCATATTCCACCCGTGTTTTATTGATCTCACCCCACTCTTTCAAAACGCATCTCTTTTCCCCCCAATGATTCTCGGTTTTGCGCACCTCCGGAGGTTGTTTTCGCGGCAACTTCGCCGCTGCTTTTCGGTCCGATCTCGACACATATTGTATCGTCCGCACGACAAATATATCCCTAAATTATTCGCCCCAGGCTTCCTTGATTTGTTTAATCGAACCCGTCTGCGACCATTGTTGTCCCGTTTTCGCGGTGTTGAAGGCTAGTTTGTAGATATGAAAAAAATCGGTATTTTAAGTTGTACTAGATATATGGCGACATGAATATTTAATCCGTAATAAATATAATGATCCATGCTTAGGAGGTTTACTTGCACCAGCAAAAAAAAAACAATATAACTTTGGGCGATCGGCAGTTATTAACAAAAAAATCGAAAATTTCAAAAAAAAACCGAAAATTTCAAAAAAAATCGAAAATTTCAAAAAAAAAATCGAAAATTTCAAAAAAAAAAATCGAAAATTTCAAAAAAAAATCGAAAATTTCAAAAAAAAAATCGAAAATTTCAAAAAAAATCGAAAGAAAATCAAAAAATTCGATAAAAATACGCTAATTACAGCAAGCTAGGAACCATGGAGGACGAATAAATAAGTTATTTTTGGACTGGCAGAGATTCCAAGAGGGCTTTTGTGAAGGCGGCAGCGTTGGCGGCGGCGTAGGCCTGAAAATGCGTGATGAAATCGGCAATTAATCGTAAATTAGCCCTGTTTTCGGTTGTACAGCTGGGGGGAAAAAATAGAAAAGCGTAGGTTAAAAATTCAAAGGTGTGAGGGCATGGAATGGGAACAAATTCATGAGCAAAAAATATCCCTTTTGGACCAAAAATCAAAAATTTTCTTTGAATTGGAAAAAATTTCGAAAAAACTCTCAAAATTTTTACATTTTCAGGCAAAAAATTAATGAATCGTGATCTAAAAACTCTGCTCTTTTACTAATCATTAATTTTCCCCTCAAAAAACAAGGTTTATTACACCAAAATCCCCTCAAAACTAAAAATGTTCCAAAAAATCTCAAAAATTTCGCTATTTTTCAAAATTTGAGTAAAAATCCAGCCAACTTTATGCATTTCCCTTCACCAAATTTACACTCCATTCTTTTTCCCACAATTCCAAACCCTTTTCCCTCCCAAAAACCACAAATTTTCCCTTCAAAATCCTCTCCTTACCTGCCAAGGTCTTAAAAATCTCAAAAATTTCGCTATTTTTCAAAATTTGAGTAAAAATCCAGCCAACTTTATGCATTTCCCTTCACCAAATTTACACTCCATTCTTTTTCCCACAATTCCAAACCCTTTTCCCTCCCAAAAACCACAAATTTTCCCTTCAAAATCCTCTCCTTACCTGCCAAGGTCTTAAAAATCTCAAAAATTTCGCTATTTCTCAAAATTTAAGTAAAAATCCAGCCAACTTTATATATTTCCCTTCACAAAATTTACTCTCCATTCTTTTTCCCACAATTCCAAACCCTTTTCCCTCCCAAAAACCACAAATTTTCCCTTCAAAATCCCTCCTTACCTGCCAAGGCCTGGCAATTCTGGTCGATCCGTTATGATAATCCGCCACGCACCGAATCAAAGCGTACGAGTCGATGCAGTTGCCCACAATCGACTGTATCACCGAGTCGAAGCCGCCATCAAAGGCTCGGGCGTTGAACTCCGAGAGGAATCCGTTTCGGAGGGCTTGGGCCGACGGCTGCGGGATTGGTTTGTCGTTTTCGTCCAGCACAATCGGCGGTGCGTATCTGAGCATCGACGCAATGGTGCCGGTGTGCCATGCGGGCTCGGTGCGGTCGGCATTCGGATGGGGGACGACAATGGCGTCGTTGTCGCCGCTTTCCAGTGCAATCACGTCCAGCTCCGGGGGTGGTCGATTAAAATCATTTTCCTGTTGTTTTTCGGCGTTCAGGCGGTCGATTAGCTCGGTGGCATACTTGTGCCATTTCTTTTGAATGTCTTTGGATCTGAAAAAGATCAAAAAAAAAATTTTATTTCCAAAAAAAAACCAATCGCACAGTGCGAAAATTTCAAAAAAATATCGCCCGGTACGATGAATGATTGCAAAATTTACCACTCAAAAATTTTTTGAATACTCTCAGCACCTTAAAAAATAATTTTCATTCGTTAAAAATCCCAAAAATCCTTTGCACTGTGCAAAAAATTCAAAAAATATGTATATTCACTGCACTGTGCGTAAATTTTAAAAACCGTCGCACAGTGCGGAATAAAAAAAAAGTGCCAAACAAAAACCACAAAAAAATTTTTTTAACCCCTGAAGACCTCTACAAAAAATTCCCGAACTCTATAGCCCTTAAAAGTTCACTGTAAACGCAAAAAATCAAAAATTCGTACAGTGCAGTTCAAATTTTTTTCGAAAATCGTACTTTTCCTTTAGCAATTCGACAAAAACTTCTTTCTTCGGTGACGATCTATGTGCTGTGAGGCCTGTAACTTTGCCACTGATTCTGTCCTTTACAATTGTGTTTCCGTACACATAAGCCGGGTGTTTTCCATTCGAAGTCGAGCTGACTACAACATCGCCCAGCTTGACGTGTTGTTCGGGATCGGTGTAGTGGGGGACTCCGCCGCCCACTCCCACTATAATGACGTGTTCTACGGCCTGAAAGGCATTTTGAAATGAAAAAATTAAAGAAATTTCACAACAAAAATAAATTTTCCCCATTTAGACCTCATGAATAATGTAAATCCTCAAAATTCACCTGGAAATTGCCCAGTAATCGTGTTGTCACCGATCCTGAGCTAATCGTAGCCTCTCTGCTATCGCCAATGATCGGCAGTTTCGTCACCACCACTCGGTGCGGTCCGATATTGCCGATTGTGTAGACATTGGAGTCGCCGTTCAAGTTGTACATGTGCAAAGTGTTCGCATTTTCGACGCACGACGAAACCGCAAGGTTCTCGACGAACAAACAGGTCACTATCGCGATTGTCGGGGGCTTTTCCTTGACTGCTTTCGAGAATTTCGTCTCTCCCACATCTACAACATCAAGTGTAATATAAAAAAGTCAAAAAGCAATCAAATTATTGTCAAATTTTTGCAACATTTCATTCAGGGAAGATTTCAATTGGAGCAAATCGGGTATCGCGCCAATATTTATATCCAATGTTTCACAATTGATTCACAAGATAGTCAAGGGGTTATCCTGTGCTCACACCGGAGGATAGGTCGCTCATGACCAAGCTCACAACCAAGGCCGTGACCGAGGTCAAGGAGGTTGCCTAAAATTACCCGAAAATGATTTCAATCCTTGACAATGATGGTTAAGACACTTTCTTTACGTCAGGTCGTCACCGAGCTCACCACCAACGTCGCACGTCAAACTGAGGAGTCCGGTGACCGGAATAGACACTTCGCTATCGGTTTTTTACACTTCGTCTTGATTTCGCAGAGAAAGAGAGAAAAAAGGCACGCAAAAACGTACTCTCTCGCCCCAAAAATTCCCCATTTCTTCCCCGACAAAACGTGTTTTCACGTCTTTTTTTGGCAGATTGCCAATCCATTCACCGGACTGTTTTAGCTTATCTCAGTTTGACGTGCGTCGTGACCACAGTCAGTTTGGATGTGACCTGACCCAACTGAAGCGCCAAAACTGTCTGGAACAGCTAGCAACATTGTTTTCAGAGGATTTCGGAGATTAATCGTGACCTAGCTTTTAGCTATTTTAAGAACATTTTTGACATCCGTGTTCAAGGTGGATGTAGGTCATGGGCTTGTCACGATTAATCTCCAAAATCCTCTGAAAATAATGTTGCTAGCTGTTCCAGACAGTTGTGGCAGTTCAGTAAGGTCAGGTCACAACCAAAATGAATGTTGTCACGACCTTGGTCGTGAGGTTGGTGACGATCTAACCTAAAGAAAGTGTCTTGACCATCATAGTCAAGCATTGAAATCATTTTCGGGCAATTTTAGACAACCTCCTTGACCTCGTTCACGGCTACAGTGGGGACCTGATCCCGTGGCAAAAAACGTGCCATTTTGCATCCAGGAAGTATCACAAAATGTAGCAAAATAAAAGCGTAACCGCTCTTTCTGTGAGGAAATTCAAAAAGACGTTTTTTCGCTTCACGGGGGAGGCATTTTGCTATATTTTTTCAAACTTCCCGGATGCAAAATGAAATGTTTTTTGCCACTGGATCAGGTCCTTCACCGTAGGTCGCGAGCTTGGCCATGAGCGGCCTATCCTCCGGTGTGAACACAGAATAACCCATTGGCTAGCTAGTTAACCAATTTTGAAACATTTGATATAAATATTGGCGCGATACCCGATCTGCCTCAAATAAAATCTCCCCCGAAGAAGGGCAGCCCAAATTTCAAGCATTTTTAGACGCAAACAGAACGCTTACGAGCGAAATTGTTGACTCTGATGATTTCCCCGCTCTCCAGACGTTCTGCAATTCCTTTTTGGATCAGTTCATCAACAAAAGCGGCGACTGTCTCCGGCTCGCATCGCAAATCCTCCACAATCGCCTCAAAAGTCAGCGCGTTCGGGTAGGCGTACTCCAACATGGTCTGAACATGTCCGGCCATCACATCTTCCACTTCATCGTCAGTTTCGCAGTCCTTGGAAGCCGGCACAGTCACCACGGCATCAGCTGAGACCCGCTTCACCGTCACGTCCAGAAACTTGATATGGTCGGCGGGGAGATCGCGAAGAGTCAAGAGGGCGTTGATCAAAAAAGTCACGGCATCCCGCGACTTGGAGCCAGTCACCCCAACAAAGAATTCCTTGGCCGTATCGTGCCGTCCAGTTTTTGAGACATGATCGCGGAAAATAAAGTCTAATGTGCGCTTCTCCTAAAAAAAAATCCAAGAATCAACCCTTATTCATCTTCAGAAAACTTTTCAAACCACCTTCCATCAAAAAACTACGAAAAATTAGCTAAAAAATATATTATCCATGATGGATAAACAGAAAAAAATAAAAATTCTGTGGAAAAAATCAAACAACAAACCTTAGCAAGGCTCTATACAACTTTTCAAACCACCTTTAATTAAAAACAGCGCAAAAAATAACAAAAAATTACATTACCCATCATGGATAATATAAATTTTCCAAAATCTCACCTGATATCTCGGCGCATCTTCAGGAGTGACCCAAACAGAGTAGGCACAAGTAACATGGGGCTCTGAAGCCTCGAATGTTTCAGCTGGAGGCAAAATGAAGAGATTTTCGAATCGTTCCGTTGCTATGTGAGCTGGTTCCGGAAGATCGCCAGCCTTGGTTCTAAAACAACGAACAGTTAAGTCAAGCGTGTTTTAAAAAATGCTACAGCACTTTAGCCACAAAATGAGGGGGAAATCGGGCGATTTGACTGAAAACTCATCGAGATATGAGCAAAACTAGAAGAGACATCAAAATCTCATGGGTAACATAACAAAAATGGTCAAAGACCTCGATTTTTAATAGAATTTCATGACGATTTGTATATCTTTAGAATGAACAGACCCTGAGCTTTCGGGAAAACACAAAATTCCTCAAAAATAATACCAATTAAATTATCCTTCATCAAAAAAATATAAATTCTTACCTAAAAAGACGAGAAACGCTTTCCGAAGCGTCCTTTTTCAGTGGCAGCAACGCTGAAACAATCTGATCATGCTTGAAGAAGTACTCCTTCGGGTATTCATCGCCTTCAGAATCATTTAGATGCGGTTTAGTGGGGACTTCGGGTCGAATCGCCTCGGCTGCAGCCATTCCCAAGACGTTGTGCAGCTGAAAACAAACAGATCACAGGTGGATTCGTCATAAAATCAAATGGAAAACATAATTCGATGCTCGGACTCTCGTAAAACATCAGGGCCACGTCAAAAATCAAAAGAAATTTGAGCGAAAACATTAAAAATCAATAAACGCCTCATGGATAATATAAATTGATGTCCGGAAATGCAGGAAAACCGCGGGAAATGGCGAGTGTTTGTGCAGATTGTTGGTTTAGAGATCAGAAAAGGAGAGAATAATTTTTTTCCGAGGAAATGCAACATTTTTTCGAGTTGATGCAGAATGCCAAAAAACCCCGCTGATTCCGAAAATCAAAATAAATCAAGTCGAAACTACAAAGTTGTGATCGAAATTGAGTTTGAGTAGTCATAAAACGAAGAGAAAGTTTGCATTTGACCACTTCCTTGGGCCTTCATAAAACAAATCGGAAATTTTTTTTGAAAGGGAGAAGGATTATATAACGGAGATATAAAGGCGACTTTCTCTTTGATCCGGAATGAACCTGGAGCAAGGCCGGACTTGGGAAAGGGCCAAAAGGTGGCGTTTGATGGAAATTTGTCGTTCAAGAGCGATGAGAGCGGCGAAATTCGAAAAAATTATATTATCCATGACATCAGGTGGGAAAAGAGGCAAAATCATAAGGTAGTACGAGAAATTCGATTATATTTTGATATGGCATTGTAGTAAAGGGTTTGCAATTACATTAGAGAAAGAAAAATCAAGGATTATTGTTTGAAAAACTAATGAAATTGAAGAATTATATTATAGATGACATCAGTTGGGAGAGTTGTAAAAAATATATGATTATGTGTGAAGATCGATTCTTTTTTGAGTCTAAATTGTAGTTAAAGGCCTAAAACTTCTATACGACAAACAAAATTGCAGATTATTGTTGGAAAACCCAACAAAAATTGAAAAATTATATTATACATGACATCAGTTGGGAGAGATGTAAAAAATATGTGATCATAAGTAAAGATCGAATATTTTTTGATTTTAGATTGTAGCTAAAGGTCTAAAACTTCTATACAGCAAACAAAATCGCAGATTATTGTTTGCAAACCCAACAAAAATTGAAAAAATATCGCTTCTCGGCCAATTTTTAGTTCATTCTTCCCATTCGAACGTGTTTATTTACGTTTGTCAGAAGGAGAAGAACGGCTGAAGAAGAGACAGAGATAATAATCTAATTTTTATTTCCGATTGGGTTGGAAGTGGACTCCTGAGTCATCAGGGAAATAATTTTTGTCGGAGCGGAAGGAGAAGATGAAGATAGGCAAAAAGATCGTAATTGAATAGTCATGAGGAGTGGTTTCGTATCATATAAGTATATTACGAAGTCTTAATTACAACAGTCACCGGAAATGTGCGGAAGAGGGAGATTTATATTATTCATGACATCAGATTTGGGTCCCGCAGCGAAAACTTGAAGTTCCGATTTTATGCATGGGATTGACTCGAAAAGGTCATAGAAACCTCAGACTACGTATTTTACCACAGAAAAAGCTTTTTAAACAACATTTTTTCTGGATTTTTTGCCAAAAAAATCTCAAAAATTTCCTCAAAAATTTTTGCGAAAAACAGCAAGAAAAAGTTTTATTCTCCATTTGTCCTTGTTTTTACCTCCTCTCGACCGAAAAATCGCCCTTCTCCCATTTCATTTTTCAGTTTTTGGAACCTCAGCCAAACGCAATGGGAGGCGAAAGGGAGGGCGTTTGGGCACGGCTAATGGGTAATTCCAAGGTCAAAGCCGGGTAATATTACAAGGAAATTGGGGAAAAGGTGGGAAACAGTAGACGGAAATGCAATTTTCAGCTCGAATAAGGGTGAGATCGGAAAAATGGAAGGGGAAAACTGGGAAAATATGAGGGAAATTTGTCTCAGAACTTGTAAAAATCCCGAAAATTTTAAAATTAAAAAATCTCAAAGTACAAGGTTTAGATCTTCCTCAAATTTTGCACACATTTTCTACGAGGGTTACATATCAAATGCTGAAAATTTTAGCTCGCGCTTTGAATTGGCTCCTGAGATATCATTCTTTTATGTCATTGTGGACGAGAGAGTATGGAAAATTAGGAGAGACGGTTAGAGAAAAAATAAAAAACTTTTTTGACCATGTTTTGGGGCATTTGTATATTACATAAAAAACTGAGTCTTCAGAGGAAATTTACTATAAAATACCACAGCTAAAAAGGTTCAATATCAAAAATTCATTTCACAAGGTAAGTACCTCAAATGGGACGCTCAGATTTTGATGAAAGTTGGGACAAATTTAAAATAATTTTTTTCTAAGCCATATGCGAGAATCCTAGCTCTCACTTTGCAAAAAAAACCGAGATTTTTAGATCGAAAATCGGCCGAAATTCGACACTTTTTGCCAAACTTTGGCATAAAAAATTTTGTACTTATTTCTACAGTAGAGGATGATATTTCCACAAAAAATAAAAATTTTTCCGTACGAAACTGGCAAAGTAATGGCCAAAAAGTGTTTTCTCTCTGACCGCACTCCCCCTTTCGCGTACTCTCTCGCCGGCAAAGATTGTTGAATATCTCGGTGGTGGCTGCAAAGTGCGAGCTAAAACTTTCAGGAACTAATATTTAGTCTATGCCCAATGTGTGTACAAAATAAAAAAAAAATAAAATCCTTTTTTTTAAATTTTTGATTTTTTATCCAAAAATTTTTTACATGCCACAAAAATTCAGTTCCGCTGGTTGAAAATTACTGACAGGTCTGACGGGTAAAGAGAAAACGCGAATTATCCCCAATGACCATTAAAAATAATAGCCCTCGGGAAAACATTGCATGGGAAAACGCACCAAAAACAGTATTATTGACGCTGAAAACCCGAGTCTTTTGCGGAAAAATAACTCTTTTTTAATCCCACTGTTGGTTCTAAACAACAAGAGATTAGCATTTTATAAATGACCAGAGGGTTTTATAACATTTTGAGGTGAATTTTTTGAAAAAAAAAATAAAAAATTTTTTTGGGCGATATTCGTCTTCCAATTTCCCAAAATCTCGCTCTAGACCAAATAAAATGGCCGATGGACATTACGAAATTGTGTGGTTATGAAAGAAGGCGAAATGAGTCGTCTTTTACGGAGACTTTTGGAGAGAGAAAAGGGGGTTTACTTTCCGAATGAGACCACACGAATGGCCAGAAACAAGTTAATTTGCATTTTTTTTTGAAAAGAAAATTTTGTTTAATTTTGAAAAAATTGAATTTCTTTTATCAAACTTGCAAAAATTTTGTTTAAAATTCCATTTCTTGGGGTCTATTTTTTACAAAAAAAATCAGTTTTATTTCAGGATAAAAGATCAAAACAGTAAAATAAAAAATATTTTTCTCCAAGCTTAAGGAAATAACTTTTCCCGACCAAAAAATCATATCTTTAGGTTACGATTACCGTTATTTTGTATCCATTCTACAAGTGAAGTACTCCAAGTGCGACGCTCAGTTTTTGATGAAATTTTGCACAAATATGGAACGATTTTTTCTAAAGTATATGCGAGAATCCTAGCTCGCGCTTTGCAGAAACAACCGAGATTTTTAGATCGAAAGTCGGCGAAAATTTAGAACTTTTTACCGAATTTCAGCACGAAAAGTTTCATGCCTATTTTTACCGTAAAGAATAATGTTTCTACAAAAAATCAAATTTTTCCGCACGAAATTGTTAAAGTTATGGCCAAAAAAGCGATTTCTCTCTGACCGCTCTCCGCGTTTAGCGCGCTCTCTCGGCGGCAAAAATTGTTCGATATCTCGGCGGCGCCCGCAAAGCGCGAGCTAAAACTTTCAGGAATTGATATTTAGTCCATACCCGACATGTGTGCAAAATTTAAAGAAAATCTGAGCGTCGCAGAGATATGTCTCCCCTGTAAGCCATATGCGAGACCCCTAGCTTGCGCTTTGTTAAAATAACCGAGATTTTTTAGCAGAAAGTTGGCAAAAATTTAACATTTTTTTCAAACTTTGGTATGAAAAGTTTCATGCCTACTTCTACCGTAGAGAGAGACATTTCCACAAAAAATTAATTTTTTCCCCACAAAACTGGCAAAGATATGGCAAAAAAAGCCTTTCTCTGACCGCTCTCTCTCTTTTGCGTACTCTCTCGGCGACAAAGATCGTTGAATATCTCGGCTCTCTCTGCAAATGGCGAGCTAAAATTTTCAGATATTGATATGTGGCCTATGACAGACATGTAAGCAAAATTAAAAGAAAATCTGAGCGTCGCACTTGGAAGCCTTCTCAACGAAATCGCGGCCTTTATTCGGAACGTTGCTCTCCGAAAAAACGCGTCCAAAAAAAGTTAATTTCCCCCTTCTTTTCCCGTTAGGGTCAGACACGAATTTGGATGGAATTCTCTCCTCGGTTCTTCGGATCAAAGATTTTTATGATTCATTCGAAACAACAGTCATTTTTTTTGCATTTTTTGGGAGGTTTGAGGGGAATTTTTTTCCGACTAAAAATTTTGTTTATTCAATTAGGGAAAACAAAGGATTTTTTTACAGAGAAAAAGCATGAAACAATATTTTTTTTTCTGAAAATTAAAAAATTTCGCATATTCTTTACAAAATATCAGCCTGTCGGGAAAATAATGTGGATTCGTCGCGTCGCCCATCATTTTTTTGCGATGGCATGCCATTGTTGGAAATTTGGATCGCGACAGCGACGAGAAATTTTTCTGCGACAAATCCCCATTATTTTCCCGACGGACTCATATGTACAGACCATTCACGAAGTAGCTGTGTGCAAAAACAAAAGTCTACTTTGCACCAAAATTTTTGGCTTTGATTGGAGATTTATGAAAAAAACTATTCAAAATCCAAGAAAAATCAAAGAAAATCAAAAATAAGAAAAAAATGAAACGTTTTTGTGCAAAAAAAACACAAAAAAAACTTTAAAAAAAAATTTCGGCCATTTAAAAATTATTCATAAAATTTAAAAATTATTCATAAAATTTCATTTTCTGAAGCTCCAAAAAGTTCATTAAACCTCAAAAATCCCAAAAAAAAAACACCCAAAAAAGTGTATAATTAAAAACTTTAAAAAAAGCGCCATGTAAAACAAGTCTTTTTAATTTAATAATGCCAAAAACACCCAAAAATTTCGCAACCCCTCGAAGAAAGCGGCCAAATTGCCCCCATTTTTTATGCGAATAATAATTTGGTCGTGTCATGGCAAGCGCGAAATGCGAGGAAAGCGCGAGACCGGGCATCGTGCAGCTGGCGCGCAAATCGCCTTCGTCTTATGTATTCCTCGCTGGCGAATATTCCCCCATTCGTCTCTGGCTTCCTTTGCGCGTTTCTTTTGGCGTTTGATCCGAAATAAATTGTGTGGGGAATCCGAAAAAAATTAATCCGGAAATGGGGAATTTCAAGGAGGGAAAAGGGGAATAAACAAGGTTTAAAGTAACTTTTTCGAAGGCGAAGAGGTGGAAAAGCGATTAAGAAAAGGTTTTTCGTCACAAGAAAGGCTAAAAACTAGTCTGTCGGGAAAATAATGTGGATTTTGTCAAGAAGGCTAAAAATTAGTCTGCCGGGAAAATAATGTGGATTTGTCGTGGCAAAAATGGCTCGATTTGTCGCAGTCGGGCGTCAAATCTTCACATAGCCATTGCAAAGCTACACTTACAAGGGAAGTACTCCAAGTGCGACGCTCAGATTTTCTTTAAATTTTGCACACACATTGGGCATAGACTAAATATTAATTCCTGAAAGTTTTAGCTCGCGCTTTGCGGGCGCCGCCGAGATATCGAACGATTTTTGCAGCCGAGAGAGCACGCTGAACGTGGAGAGCGGTCAGTCTTCTTTATCCTCCGCGGTTGAAGGAAAGCGCGAGCTAAAATTTCTTGAAATTTTAAAAAAATATGTCGCTTATATCAGTCTGTCGGTAAAATAATGAGCACATTTTTTTTTCTCTTTTTTATCAAAAATAAGCAATTTATTTTATTGGTAAACAAAAAATTTCCTCTATTTATTGCACCCCAATCTTCTTGGGAAATGCCATCCGTCCCTCATAATTCAGGACAACACAGTGTTTCGAGAAGAACGGAGTTCCAAGAACGAAGCTCGTCTTCGCCGCTGGTCCAGTGACTCCGACTCGGAGCAGTCGATAATTCGCGTTCTTGGGATATGGATCATACAGCTGGCTGCTGTCGATACTGACTTCAAAATGGGTCGACGAAAACGTGATTGGGAGTGACCTTTTGTCCACAATATAACGGCCAGTTTCGGCGTCTATTCCATGATCTCCGGTTTGTGTAACGATTAAGTTGAGAACTTTATCAGGAACGTAGAAAAAGTCGGTCGACTGGTCGATTGTGACCTGAAAATTGGATGATAAAAATACTGGTGCTGGGCTGGACTCTTATGTACGACGTGGCGACTTTGCGGGCGACCACTTTGCGGGCAGCCGACATTTACCGTTTAGAATTACGATTTTTCTACCGTAATCTGCATCGCATGATAGAAATTTTGCATCGGTGACTCCCTGGTAAAAATGAGTACATGAGGCTATTGAATTCGTGCACCGCTTTCGAAATTATGAAAGTTTGTTTTCAAAAAATGCTTCCTGTTAATAAGCCTTTAAAACTGGCCCGGCGACTTCCCCAAGGCCTAGTATTCGCCTCGAAAGGGCTAAACCATTCAGGGATTTTCTGAATAAATCAAATTCTTGCATAAAAACAAACTTACAGTATACCCCACGTCCTGCTTCGGAATACCGTCTATGGTAAACTTGGGTGCTGAGAACACCCAGCCCTCCTCTATCTCCACCCTCACATACGCCGTCGGCCTCTCGCAATGGCTCCGATCGAGGCCTCCCAACGTAATCAAGCCGTCAAACATGTTGTTTTTGTTGGGCGTCATCAAGAAGATTGTAATTATTGGCTCGGTGATGGCATTCCGATCCAACAGCTGGCGGATTGGGACGTCCATTCCGTCGACGGGCGTCGGCGACAGCCCGAACACTCCGTCATGTTTGAGGGACGGATAAGAAGCCGGAAACTGGTAAGCTGTAGCGAAGATGAAGTTTTTGGCCGACGTGCCTGGCTTGTAATGAGGACCAGGTCGAAAGGTGTCGTGGGCTGTATAAGCGGCTACATCGCCTTTCATGAAGGGGAAAGAAATTGGAGCGGTACCTGAAATGAAAGGAAATATATCAGTCTGTCGGGAAAATAATGAGTATAATGGCGATGCGTCGCCGAACTGAGAAGCAGTTTGATTTTGCCGCGACAAAATCCATTCTCGCCAGCGGTTCGAGCTTCGATGCGACATAGTGCTCCTTCTTTTCTCAACTGCAAACTATTGAAAAAATTATTCGTTATAAAGGAGCTTCGTTACAGAGAAGTTCATTTTGAGCAAACTAGGGAAATACCCCAAGTGCGACGCTCAGATATTCTTTAAATTTTGCACACACGTCGGGCATGAACCAAGTATCAATTCCTGAAAGTTTTAGCTCGCGCTTTTCCGGCGCGAGATATTGGATGATCTTTGTTATCGAGCGAGTTCGCAAAACGCGGAGAGCGGTCAGAGAGAAAAGCATTTTTAAAATCGATTTTTTGTGGAAGCACGACGGTACGAAATAGGTATGATTGATGGTACAAATTTGTATGAAATTTTTTGTGCCGAAATTTGGCAAAAAGTCTTAAATTTTCGCCGACTTGCGATCTAAAAATCTCAGTCGTTTCTGCGAACTGCGAGTTAGAATTCTCGCATATATGTCAGAAAAAAGTATTCTAAAATTGTGCCAAGTTTCATCAAAATCTAAGCGCCGCACTTGGGGTACTTCCCCTGTAAGAATTGCATTCGCGCAACAAGTCCCGCGACAAAAATGTGTCAGGACTTTATGGCGCGACTAGTACAACAAGGGTTTTTTCCAGGCTGAAGTTGACTTTTGGGCTTTGCAAATTGCTCGTGTATTATACAGGCTTCGCTTTTCCCCGCGGCACCTCCCATTTTTCTTACCGTTCGAATAAGTCTCTGAAGCCTTTGTGTCAAATGTGTTCTTGTTGATGCAATACTTCTTTTTCGCTGAAAAAAAGATATCGTAAGACTTCTGTAAAAAGCATAGCATTGGATCAAATGACCTCTGCAAAAAGTGCAGCATTGGATCATAATATTTAGTCGTTTCAGAGGGGTCCATTGTTCGGATGCTCTCTTATATCGGAACTCGCCTCTTGAGACTTTCAAATTTCTCGTTATAGACAAGCTTCGTTCTAAAGATGTTCATGCTTTATATCTCACCATGATCCGTGGCCAAATCGCAGTCCGGCACCCACAAAACGGAGGATTGCAGGTCAAATTCGACGTTGAAATCTTGACCCGGCTTTCCAACCGACACCGCTCCAACGTATGCGTTGTGTTCATGTTGCGAGTATTCATACCGCGTCAGCCGAATCTCAATACAATCAAAGGTTTGTAGCAAAAGTAGCGAAGCAATGAGCGAAAAGTTTTTCATAGTGCGTTATCGGGAAAACGGTGAGCATTGTAAGGAGATGAGTTGTTATCAATGCCGGGAAAAAGGTGCGCCGAAAGGAATAAAAACATGGGGGCGAACGAAAGGAAAAAAGCTTTTTATTTGTGATTTCTGTGGAAGCGTATTTCCCCCAAATGGATTTTTCGTTGAATGCTTGCGTTGCATCCTCAAATTTATTTTAACTTTTTTTAAAAGAGGGATCAAAACTTTTGTCACACTTTTTTGAAGTGATTTTTGAAAAAAAAAAACGTCCCTGGATTTTCAAATACATGATATTTTTTATTACTAGGTTGTCAGTAGATTACCGTGAGGCGGAGCGACAGAGCTTCGAGGATTTTCCCACGAGGAGCGATCTGCATTTATTCAAATTTGATTGTACATTCCTACGTGAGGTTTCCCTATAAAAGGCCTCCTTTCCACTGAGTAAATCACTTGACTGTTGAGCTCTCGTGTTGTCTCGTTATTGGGTTCTCGGGCCTTTCGACAACTCATAAGTGGCGACCAGGCGACTCAGCGTGGACCGACCCTCCGACTGCAGCTTAACAACGGAACCTCAGACGTGAATTTTAAATTTACAGTCAAACTACAACAAATCACAGGCCTTCAGAAAAGTTTGCCGGTTATATCAGTCTGTCGGAAAAATAATGAGCACTCTGTTGCATCGAAAATCGCATCGCCGACGAGGCAATGAATTGTAGGCCGATATTAAAAATATGTTTTCGAATAAAAAGAAAAATAGAAATTCATTTAAAGGTTAATATTATAAAAAATTCCTTCCATTTATTGCACCCCAATCTTCTTGGGAAATGCCATCCGTCCCTCATAATTCAGGACAACACAGTGTTTCGAGAAGAACGGAGTTCCGAAGACGAAGCTCGTCGTCGCCGCTGGTCCAGTGACCCTTACTCGGAGCAGTCGATAAATCGCGTTCTTGGGATATGGATCAAGTAGCTCGCTGCTGTCGATACTGACTGTAAAATGGGTCGACGAAAATGTGATCTGAATTGACTTTTTGTTCACGATATAAAGGCCAGTTTCGGGGTCCTTTCCATGCTGTCCTACGGCATTAACAATAAAGGTGAGAATTTCCTCAGGAACATAGAAAAAGTCGGTCGACTGGTCGATTGTGGCCTGGAAATTTGAGGATAAAAACACTGGCGCTGAGTTGGGCCCTATGGGAGTTTGTTTTCAAAAAACGCTTCCTGTTAATAAGCCTTTAAAAACTGGCCCGGCGATTTCCACAAGGCCCAGTGGGGGACCCGATCCAGTGGCAAAAAACGTATCATTTTGCATCCGGGAAGCATCAAAAATGTGGGAAAATGCTTCCCTCTCCAAGTGAAAAAAACTTGACTTTATAAGCCGCGCCCTTTCCCTCACAAAAAAGCGGGCGCGCTTTTGAAATCAGAGTTTTTTCACTTGAAGAGGGAGGCATTTTGCCACATTTTTGATACTTCCCGGATGCAAAATGTTGTTGTTCTTCCCTCTGGATTGTGTTCCCCACTGTATTTGATTCGAAAGGGCTAAACGATTCAAGGATTCCTTTGATCGATAAAATTCTCGCATAAAAACAAACTTACAGTTAAACTTAAGGACCTCTGCATCGTATGACCGTCTATGGCAAAAGTGGGTGCTGAGAACACCCAGCCCTCATCCATGTCCACCTTCACGAATTCCGTCGGCCTCTCGCAACGCCTCTTATCAAGCGCTCCCAACGTAATCAAGCCGTCAAACAGGTTGTTTTTGTTGGGCATTAGCAAGAAGATTGTGATCATTGGCTCCGTTATGACACCCCGATCCCACAGTTGTGGGATTGGAACACCCCCTTTGATGGCGGATTTCGGCCACAGCCCAAAGACTCCGTCATATTTCATGGACGGATAGCAAGGCGGAAACCGATTGGCTATAGCGAACTTGAAGTTTTTGGCCGCCGGACTCCGCTTGTAATGCGGGCCGGGTCGAAAGGTGTCGTGGGCTGTGTAAGTAACTACAACGCTGCACAAGAAGCGAAAAACATTTGGGCCGGAACCTGAAGTGGACGAAAACAAAGTGGGCTCGACGATTTGGCGATTCCTTTCGCCAATAGGTGAGGACAACGGTTAAACCAAGTTTTATTACCTTTTATATAAGTCTCCGAAGATTTTGTGTCAAACGTGTTCTTGTTGGCGCACATCTTTGCTTCCACCTCAGTTTCAGCTGAAAATATATCCAGAGCCGGTAAAACGCACTAGAATTTCTTGAGCTTTATCGCTGTTCACAAAATTTGGCTACAAAATATCCAGAATTTAGTGTTTTTACTACGTTTTTTATGAAAGTTTAAAAGCGAAACCTTTCTGTAATTTATCGAAATTTGTGGGCAAAGTATTGAAATAATAAGCTTTGCTGTACTTACAGATGTTCGTTTTGTTTATCTCATCATGATCCGCCTCAAAATCGCAGTCCGGCACCCACAAATCGGAGGATTGCAGGTCAAATTCAACGTTGAAATCCTGACCCGGCTTACCAACCGACACTTCTCCAACGTATGCGTTGCGGTCATGTAGCGAATCCGGGAGCCGGGTTAGTCGAATTTCAATACAATCCAATGTTTGCAGCAAAAGTAGCGAAGAAATAAGCAAAAAGATTTTCATAGCGCATTATTGGGAAAACGGTGGGCATTGTGAGGAAATGAGTTGTTATCAATGACGAGGCAAGGGTGCGTCGAAAGCTGTAAAAACTAAAAGATCTTGAGGGTGAAGGGTTCAAAAGGAAAAAGCTGTTTTTTGAAAAAAGCTTGGCTTTGGTACCAGATATGAATTTTAAATTTACAACCAGATTTACAACGAATAGCAGAGGACAAAAAGATTAATGATATACCCTACTTCAGAAGGTCATAGCGACCTCATTTTGCACTTTAAAATCTTGTTATTTTGTAGTAGACAAAAATTAATGTCGCTTAAAAATACGTATTCCAAATACGAAGTCTCTTCGCCGCTTTTGCCGGAATTTATAGCCTCCCACCTCCATTCATGTATATATTTTGTAAGACCCTGTGTATCTAGACATGGCTCTGCGGCCGGGCTGCGCCGGGGTCTGCCTTGAGCCGGGCCGATAAATACTGCATTCATTAAGAGGTGTTGCAACATATCTGTTTTTTATAACAAAGAAAAATAATCCTTGTAAAACCGAAACTTACTAGCCATTGCCTGAAGTATTATACTCCAAACAACACAATCGGTTCTGTGCTCTGCATTTTATTCTTATCGGCAACCCCTACTTTCGCCTTGGAACTCACAGGGGAGGTACTCCAAGTGGACGCTCAGATTTTCTTTCAATTTTGTATACACGTCGGGTATGGACCACGTATCAATTCCTGAAAGTTTTAGCTCGCGCTTTGCGGGCGCCGCCGAGATATCGTACGATCTTTGCCGCCGAGAGAGCACGCTGAACGTGGAGAGCGGTCAGAGAGAAAAGCGCTTTTTGGCCATAACTTTGGCAGTCTTGTGCGGAAAAATTTGATTCTTTGTAGAAACATTATCCTTTACGGTTGAAATAGGCATGAAACTTTTCGTGCCGAAATTTGGCAAAAACTCCTAAATTTTCACCGACTTTCGCCCTAAAAATCTCGGTTGTCTCTGCAAAGCGCGAGCTACGATTCTCGCATAAATCTTAGAAAAAATTATTCTAAATTTGTGCCACGTTTCATCAAAATCTGAGCGTCGCACTTGGAGTACTTCCCCTGTCAGAATTTTGATCATTGGGGGCTGGAAAAGATTGACCCGGGGTCCTTTGCAAACTAGCTGGGCCCGGGCCCAGAGCCATGTCTTATTATATCAGTCCGTCGGAAAAATAATAAGCACTCTGTCGGATCGAAAATCGCGGCCAAGAAAATGTATTGTGTGGCGGCAAAATCAAATTTCTTTTCACTTCAGCGAAAAGATCGGCGGCGACCGCGTGCTCTTCATTTTCCCGATTGATACTTGACATCAAGGAAAGATACATTGAAGCCACCGTCAAACAGCAGAACGATGGAAAACTTGTGTTCATTGGTTCTAAGGAAATCGCGAACCCAGAGGGAACGAAATTGTTACATTACAAAAAAGTATGAATTTACAGGTCGAGTCATACATATAGTATAAAAAATCGCAACATTTTTTCTGATTCACAAGGTATCGGCAAATAGATAGTTGCACCCTGCTTTCTTAACGAAACCTGTATCATTCGAAAGAGCATTAAAAATAGTGTACAATGCAGAAAAAATAGCTGCCAAATATGTGTTTGGGCAAAGTTATGGCCGTTTTATGAAAGGGGCCATATGCGACCAAAACGTCGGTTTCTTATACTACAGTAATCCTAGCGGCCTGAAATCGTTTCCATTGATTTCTTAGCATCCCAAAACGTCTATCGCGGACGTTTTATGGGTTTACCATTCCTCGGTTATGCGTTATTACAAGCCCTCATTAGTGCAGGATTCCCGCATCATCATCATAGAGAAATGAAAATCTTCAGACGGCCAGTAAATGAAAAATTAAAAACCGTGAATAAATCACATTGATGTGGTTCATTGGCGGCTATAAAGGAAGGTTATTAAAAGTGAAACGTTTCGAAAATGAAGGTCTACCTGATTTGTGGAATATTGTTTGTGGCAGCTTGTACAGCCGAACCCGATCGCTTTGAAGATAAAGTGTACCTCATCGTGAAAGATGCGGGGCTAGACTATTCGCGAGATCAGGTCGCGAAATATTCCACGATGCTTCCTCGGCTGGTAAGTTTGAAGTTGTTGCCAATGGTTGAAAGAGCTGGCAGTGAAGGGGGGACTTGCAGAAGTCAGTGTACCGCCTTGCAAATTCTCTTGTATCCTGCTGTTTCTAGATGAATGATATAAACCACAGAGCCAACCTGAAGTTGGACCGCTTAATTAATGAATTCATAGGTATGATTCGTTATATTCCCAACGACGACCTACGCGGACATCAGTTCTTCGAAGCATCAAGGCTATTTCTCCTCTATGTGTTCCCTAAGTTGAGCGACAGCGCCTCGATGGGATGGGAGAAGAGCGCGTTGGGACTTGAAGCCACCATGTTGGTTCTTTTCCGAAAAGTGAGCTTTTAATAATCATTCGTCTTAAAAATCCTTTTTTTAAGTATGAATGGCACGCAATTATCGACGCGAATTGCCAGCAGTTCTTGGCCATAACTGAGCATCAGCTGGAAGAACAGATTTGCGAGATATACGCCAGGTATATTCAGGAGGACATCAAACGTGACCTATATTTTGCGACCGATGCGTTGATAAGGGCGTTGTATGGCAACAACAGTGTCTTTGCGGTGTGGAATTATCAACGTCTTTTGGAAATGATGCCGACATCTACCACAGTTGGTCCACCGGAAAAACTCGGAATCGTTGGATTTGTTTGAAAAGGAATTCGGGCTGCTTCAACTCAGCAGCTCAAAGCCTTAAACATTGTGTTATAAATGATTTAAGCGAAGAAATAAAGAAGTAATTTCTAGAAGTATGTGGGTTCATAGTGACAACCTTCAATGTTTCACTCGATGTCTTTAATGCGCTTTTTCGATAAAGTATGGAGTAAAATCTAGAGGTTTTTGAAGGTGTTAGCCATTGTAAAAGCCTTAAAAGTCTCCTGACAATGAGGTGTGACTGTAGTGAACAAATAATCTTTTTTGGACTGAATGGTTTATCTCGGAAGTGATGGTGAATATCTGATCTCTAGAGCGTCATGCGGGCAAAGGTGGTAGCCATGGTACAAGTCAGACAACTTTTTGGACTGAATGCTCAATAGGTATATATCGGTAATATCGCAACTTTGCGTATTCTTGCCGCCGAGAGAGCACACTAAACGCGGAGAGCGGACAGAGGGAAAAACATCTTTTGGCCATAACTTTGCTTGTTTCGTGCGGAAAAAATTGATTTTTTGTGGAAACACTACCCTCTATGGCAGAAATAGGCACGAAACTTTTCGTCCCGAAATTCGGCAAAAAGTATCAAATTTTTGCCCACTTTTGATCTAAAAATCTCGGTTGTTTTTGCAAAGCGCGAGCTAGGATTCTTGCATATATTTTAGAAAAAATCATTCTAAATTTGCGCCAAGTTTCATCAAAACCTGAGCGTCGCACTTGGGGTACTCCCTCTGTTGCTCAAAACAAAGCTTTTGAATTGGTAAAAACTTGGCCAAAAAGGCATTTGCATGGTGTTGCGGGAAAAGTTCTGAGGAACCTTGCAAACAAATATAGGACAGTAAATTTTAACATATTCTAAATCAGAAAAATTTTGCGATTTTTTGGATGTAGTCCCGGCCTGTAACTCAATACCCCATTGAATTATACTTTTCTTCCAACGAATAAGTTTTTTTTGCCCTTTAAAATTCGTTTTTTATTTTAGTTTTTTGGGTTTCATTTTACGGAGGTTCCGGAGAAAAAAATTAATTTTTTTCTTTGTTACAGATAGGCTTCATTGCGCAGCTGTTTGTTTTACGGAGGTTTTTACTGTGCTGACAATTGTGAGATTAAAAAACAACGCTTTTTTCTCTTTTTTCGCTGTGTTTGACCTTCACTCGGAACGAGGGACCCTTGAATTGAAGAGGGTTTTCCCCCCGACCAAATGTCTTTTTCCCCAAAAAAACTGTGTTCATTTGTCTCTTTCGCAATGCTCCAAGGGACAGATAAACCGGGGAGAGAAGCGAGACACTACTGGCGAGACGGAGGCCCGACAAAAGACGAAGGGAGAAACGCCCGAAAGCCGCCGCATTCGGTGCTGTGTGGGCTGCAGTGAGGTGGCTTGGGAAGGGAGGAGGCGAATTTCCTTATCGATCGATGCCATCTTTTTCGGCCTGAATATAATAGAAAGGTAATTTGTCCTTGTAAACTTAAAATTTTTTGTTTTTAGTCATCTGAAGACGAATTTGGAAGAGAGAAATGAAATTTGAGCAATTTTATGGAAGATGGAGAAGCTAGAAGGAGGAATTGATCGATAAATGAAATTAAAAATGGAAATATTTAATTGGAAAGCCCAGCCACAAAAGATGGACCAGCCCCACAAGCAGCTCAACATCGAGCGCTCACCGAATCCCACAAACTTTTGGAAGACTAGAAGATGTTTTGAAGGCGTTTGAAGCCCATGGGCGTTTAATGAAAGAGTTTTGTTGAATGAAGTTGAAAGGAATCCAACGAGCTCACCCCTATGAACTCAAGATGCCCTAAAATTTTGCTGAATGGACCGAAGCCGCCCAATTTTTTAATTCTTCAATGATTGAAGCCAGAGAATCAATTTAAACAAGAGCCAGCCCGCACCCTCATGTTGTAAGTAAATTTTTGATCATTTGATTTTTATATTTCATATTTTATGAGGTTTTTATAACATCATTCTGTCGGGAAAATATTGAGAAAAATGTCGCTGCTCCTATCGCAAGCAAAAAGAAATTTGGTTTTGCCACGAGACAACTCATTTTCTCGACGGCGGTGGGATTTTTGATGCGACAGAGTGCTCATTATTTTCCCGACACACTGACTGAACTGTACAACAGACTTCTTTACAACAAAACCTCTTTATAACAGACAATTTCTAAGGCTCAAAGCCCAGTTTTAGTTGGAAAAACCCTCCAAAAAACAAAATCTATCTATAAACAAACGAATTTTTTTGGCCTCTTGTACTTTTTAGCCTCTTATTCATTGTACAGAGGCTTGACTTTATTTTTTACTAAACTTTTTTTTGATGACTTTACTTTTTACTACATATTTTTAACTTTTTCTCTCTTTACCCAACTTTTATCTCCCATCTTGACTTTATTTTATAATAGAGACAATAGATATGCAAATAGGTATATGCAATGACTCATTTCGCGCCTCGTGATTTCTTTATTCGCAATCAGCCCATTGCCCATTCGGAAAGCAATGGGCGGTGTCTGAAAGAGGAAGACTGAGGGGCTTTCATCTTTCTGGCGTTTTCGCGTTTTAGGATCGATTTTGGCGCCGACTTCAGCCTAAATTCTTAGTTTACGCTCAGTTTTGTCATTCTTTCCTCGGCAGCCGAAATTGTCTGGGAATATTTCTGCTGAAATTTAGTAAATAAATTTCAAATTTATGGGTTTGCGGAAAAATTTTCGAGACATTTAGTACATAGGATGTATAGGATACTGTCAGTTTGCCAGGCAAATAATGGGTATCATTTCGATGGGCTGAATGCGTCGCTGAAGTAAAAAACGATTTAATTTTGTGACAGAAACCATTTTCTCGGCGGCGCTGTGATTTTCGATGCGACAGAGTGGTTATTATTTTCCCGACATACTGATAGGATACTAAAATTGCTACAATATCTGTTGGCGCTGTAAAAGACGTAGGAGAGCTCACAAATTTTCCAGCAATATCTTCTGGAATCTCTGCAATTTTAAGTTATAGTTGAAGTAATGAGCTATTCAACAATCTCAACGTCTACACCCGATTTGAAGAGCGTTTTTTGTAGAATTTTTAGCTTTTTATTTTTTCTTTTAGCAAAGGGCAATGATACATAATATCAGTCTGTCGGGAAAATACTGAGCACTCTGTAGCGTCGAAAATCACAGCGCCGCTGAGAAAATGAATTGTCTTCAAGGCAAAAATCAGATTGCTTTTCACTTCAGCGACGCGATTTGGCCGGCTAAATTGTGCTTATTATTTTCCCGATAGACTGATATAAGCGTCTTTCTTACCATTTTAAGATTTATAATTTTAGAAGCCGAGATCCCAGCGGCTCACCGTATCAACGACTCCGAAGTCAATCCCGCATCCGTCACCCGCCGACCCCCCGACCGCTCCGAACCTCCTCGTTCGAGACTCCCGTCAAATCTCCTGATTCGACTGGACGATCAATCAAAAGAAAGAAGATGTCCGCTACAGTTACACACCTAATGGAACAGTATCGTCAATGATATGTATGTTCTGGCTGTTGTCATTAGCCAATATTATGGTCTGTAATTCGACCCGCTTATGTCACTTGCCACGATAGCTAATTGTAAATCGCCCTTAGAATCCAAAGGCTTTTAGATTAGGTAGATCGGGGACCGCGGTCCCCGATGGATGAGCTTTTTTTACGCACAAAAATGATATACCTTTGGATTCTAAAGAGTTGTAAAACATAGCTATCGTGGTAAGTGACATAAAGCAGGGGGAAATTTTTTTTTCATTATTTCTCGTCAACAATTTGTATACAGTGTTTCTTCGGCGAAGGCGCATTGTATACAATTTCTTGGCCGGTTATGGACTGTAAGGCCGGTATGTCTTGAAGATGATTTGTAAGCCATGAGATGGCCGAGATTTCCAATTCCGTCTATCTCGGCCATGGTATGATTGTAAGCCATATTTCTAGTTACTTGTCTAACTCTCCGGGATTTTACTAGCTGATGAGCAACTGTATTGGTATGTGGTTATATTGGACCGCCTATGGGCCAGTTTAGGATGGCAAAGTTTATTTTATAGGAAGAGGAAGCCAGTGAGAATATTGGCAAAATTTTTTAGGGACTGCAAGCAGTATAAGTTAGTGAAGACGAGGCCGAAAAGCACTTCAAAGATGTGTTGGCCAACTCCAGGGTATTAGGACGTCTTATAAGGAAGATAGAGCGGTATATACGTGGCTATGGACTAGTTTATAAAACAACATTCTTAATCGCGCCGTTATGCCCTGAGAATGGGATATTTAGCAAATGAAGAGCGGTATTTGATCGTAAAGCAATCCAGAGCTGATAAAGCCAATTTTAAAGGAAGGTAAAGCAACCTACTTCCAGCGAGAAAATTTCTTTCCTGGTGAGCGGTCGGTTTTTCCTGGTCAGTTGTGCCATTGCGGGAACAAAGCCTTCTACCTAGGGCCTCAGCCAACAATCCAATGGGATCTGAAGAAACTAGAGAAGCGCGCAGCGAATTCAAGGGCCCAAGGACCCAACTCCTTCCTATTATAAGCTAAGATACTTTAAGAAACTTTCAATTAAAGATCAAAATTCTACGGTAAGAGAGCATCTACCACCTCCCGAGAAAAGATCGTTTTTATTTAACCAACTCATTTCGAGCCAAACAAGCTGAACTGACTAGAATTCAAGAAATTCAAAATTTTAAATATTCAGATGACACCCAGATCCGCAAATTTAAATACATAAAACCCTTGAGAGGGTACTATATAATTTTAAATATTCAGAGGACCCCCGGATCCGCAAATTAAATAAAACCCTTGAGAGGGTACTATAAGAAAATTAAGAATACTATAACTTACTATAAGAAAATAAGCGACCGTGCACCCCTATGCGCAACAGAGAAGACTAAAATTGAAATATTAAACAGAATATTACAAGAATCATAACTGTATTCAAATACTAAGGCTTTGGTAGCCAAAAACAATGAGAAAAAAGAAAAAAAATTTAGCTAGAGACTGTTGTCTGATTCCCTGTAGGGATTTAGCGATAGTCAACGTTTGGACAGGGTCTTTGGCCAGTTCAAACTTAAGGAGAGGCTCTAGAGCTTCTCCAAGGGATCGTCTCGATCCGAAAAAACAAAGTAGTTACTTCTAGAAGGCATATCAAAGACAGCGGTCCGGAGACGTCCATTCTGCCACTTTGATACCAAATCAGCGCGATTGATCTATACCCAGCGCCATCCGCAAACGCGTAGCGGAAACAGCATCCGTGGTATAGGGCAGATGGTTGCTTATGGCTTCGAACTCAGCTGCAGGAGGATAAAATGCCTTGAGTTGATAGTAGACCAACAACCCGAAGTTTAGGGTGAAAAGAAAGAGTCGGAACATTGTCTGGACTGAGTTTATCGTATGTGGAAGGCGCTAGCTGAGTTTAACGGGGAAAATATTAGGGATTCAGGGGGAATTGCGTTGAAGGCTCTCTGGAATAGTGAGAAATCAAGTCTAACTCAATTTAACTCTCTTATCAAGGTCTTAAGTCCTTCTCCAACCCCTTCTCCCCTCTCCCCAGCCATCTCATTCCCTCCCCAACACCTCTGTCAGATCTACCACCCCGCCTCCCATTCCCCAACCCCTCAAACTTCTGTAAGATCGTGGTATTTATCTACATAAAGCGTCTTTCATCAGCACTTGTCTTCAATTTTTTGCGTTGAAACGAGTCGGCCTTTGGGCCCGATGAGGACAACCGAAGAGGAATTACTTTTATCACAATTGTAGTCTTTTTTCGGTCAGCAAAGAAGCTTTTTTAAAATCTAGAAAAGTATGTAATGTCAACAGATTGTGTGACCGAGAAAAAAAGAGAAGAACGACAATGAAGGCAAGAAATGTGTACTACGTTCTTATTGATCACCACTTTTATAATGAATATGAATATAAATAAATAAAGTTTGTGGCTGTTGGAATTTTTTTATGATGACGAATATCGACTTTCAAGTCAATTTATTTTACTAATTACATGTAAAAATCATGGAGTAAATCAGCACGGCTTCCATATTGTCTGTTCAATGAAAAGATCTTCTCAATCGCAGGTTACGGAGCTTTCACAAACCGTCATCCATATTACTCTGGGGCGGGGCCAAGCCTTCTGTGCAGCAAACTTTCATGTGACACAGCTTGCCGGCACTAAGCAATTTGGAAGGTCCCAAGATAAGATTTTCGGGGCTAAGGTAGTACAGCCCCCCAGTCCAGTTTAGCCCCCCATGGCCCAGTACAACCCCCTCGTCCATTCTGAACCCCAAAATTTATTTCAAAGAATTAATCCAAGTTGTATGGTCGGCGTCGCGACACTTGCGGGCAACCAGTTTGCGGGCAACCAGTTTGCGGGCAAATTTTTTGCGGGCAGCCACTTTGCGGGCAAAATTTGGGGGGTCACATTTGCGGGCAGCTGAAACATTTGCGGGCAGCTGAGACATTTGCGGGCAGCCTGGGACATTTGCGGGCAACCGACACTTGCGGGCAGCCGACATTTGCGGGCAACCGGCACCTGAGGGTAACAGGGTGGAGATGGAAATATTACCGCGATATTTTGAAAATATGCCGACATTTGCGGGCAGCCGACACTTCCGGGCAGCCGACATTTGCGGGCAACAGGAAAAAACAATCACACAGACTGTATTGGTACTTTTGGAACTGTTGCCCGCAAATGTCGGCTTCCCGCAAGTATTGCCTGCCCGCAAATGTCGGAAAACTTCCAAAATATTGCAGTAATTTTTCCACCTCCACCTTGTTATCCTCAAGTGCCGGTTGCCCGCAAATGTCGGCTGCCCGCAAATGTCGGCAAATTTCCAAAATATCATAGTAATTCTCCCCCTCCACCCTGTTACCCTCACAATCAGGTGTAGGTTGCCCGCAAATGTCGGATGCCCGCAAATCTTCCAGGCTGCCCGCAACTGTCGACCCTGCCCGCAAATGTCCCAGGCTGCCCGCAAATGCCGGTGCTGGCCGCAAATGTCGGCTGCCCGCAAAAAATTTGCCCGCAAACTGGTTGCCCGCAAAGTGGTTGCCCGCAAGTGTGCGCCCGCCGTATGGTCCAGCACAAGCCCCCTACGTTTTAGATGAAGCCCCCTACGTTTTAGACGAAGCCCCCTCCGTTTTAGAAAAAGCCCCCTACGTTTTAGATGAAGCCCCTACGTTTTAGATCAAGCCCCCTGCGTTTTAGATGAAGCCCCCTACGTTTTAGATCAAACCCCCAACGTAGTAGATCAAACCCCCACTTACATTTTTTGTATTATTCTAATAATTTGTTCATTATGTGGGGTGTGAAACGGGCAAAACAGTGGGGGTTTGAACTACCTTTCGTGGGGGGCTCAACTACCGAAGCCCCAGATTTTCTGCCAAAATAAACATTCAAGCAACAAAACGTTTGTAATAGGAAATATGCATAACGACTGTATAATGTTTCTTGATCCTTACGAACGATTTCAGACCCATTTTTTGGTGGCATAAAGATAGCACTTCTGTTCGACGAGCTGGAGATTTAGTGCCACGAGACGAGACATTTGGCTGCAACACTATTTTCCCGACAGACTGATATTCGCAGGAAAATTGACTCCGAAATTGCCGTTTTAGGGAGGGTTTGTCGGGTGCGGCTTCTTTGTAGAAAATTTTGATTTTAGGTGCTTTGTAAAATACGAAATATTAAAAAATGCAGATTTTTATTTATTTACACCTTTTATTATCGAATTTGTACAAAAAATAATGGGTAAGTTTACAAAAAAAACACTCAAAATGACTCATAAAGCCTGAAAAATAATCGTTAAACTCTTTGACAGTAAACTCGAGGTCAATATATGGCATACTTTGGCGGGAAAAAACGGCAATTTTTAAAGCTTCTCATATCACAAACGGTGACTTGGGGGCCTGGCAATCGTTGGAGCATTGGCATTTGCGGATAATGTCGACGGTTTTGGTGCGCTCCGTCCCATCCAGACACTGCAGCCGGACCTTGCGCTTCTTGATTCGCACCGCCGCGCAACAACCGGCCATTGGCTGATTCAGGGAGTTGGCGTCGGCGTTCCCACACCAGCCCAAACATCGGGCGTTCTTGATCTTCTCCACGGAGCGGCATTGGCCCTCCTCGACGTATTCGCGGAACTTCTCCTTGATGCAGCGGATCTCGCCTGAAATTGGAGGGTGAGTACTGCAGTATACTAGAATACTGTGGTATTTCGACAAGATTTCCGTACGGCAAAAGTGTAAGAACTGTCTACAGGGACTAATCTGATCCAGTGGCAAAAAATATACATTTTGCATCCGGGAAGTATCAAAAATGTGGCAAAATGCTTCCTTCTCCAACTGAAAAAAACTCCGTCTTGAAGGCCGCACGTCAGAAAAGACGCGCAAAACGTACTCTCTCGCCCCAAAGGTTCCCCATTTCTTTCCCGACAGAAAATTCTTTCGCGTCTTTTTTCGGCGAATTGCTAATCCATTCACCGGACCGCCCTAGCTTATGTCGGTTTGACGTGGGACGTCCTGAAATCGGAGTTCTTCACTTGAGGAGGGAGGTATTTTACTACATTTTTTGATACTTTCCGGTTGCAAAGTGGTACTTTTTGCCACTGGATCAAGCCCGGCACTGTATCAGCCTGCCGGGAAAATAATGAGCACTCTGTCGCTCCAAAAATCGCATCGCTGCCGAGAATTTCATTATCTTGACAGTGATGCGACAAAATCAAATTGTTTTTCACTTCAGAGAGGTGATTGGCGCATCGGCAGAGTGCTTATTATTTTCCCGACAAACTGATAAAACTCTTATCTTATTAGCTTACGTTTTTCACACTTGTCCCCGCTGAATCCGTCGCTACACTCGCAGGAAAATCCATTTGAATTGGTCGAGTTTTGGAGGCATTTTCCATTGTTCTGACATCTCACTCCGTTGCAAACATTTACGACTCCGACACAGCCAGCAATGATATTCTTTTCATCAACGACATCCTCATTCAAATCAATTGTCTTGTTGTTTACAGTTATGTTCGTTATACAACCTGAAATGTAATGGTAATGTGTTATCATTTCGTTTTAGGAGGTCTACAGGGAAGTGTCATCAAATTTTCGGTAGATTTTTTAACACCTTCCTTGTCAACTAAATTACGTACCTTTCATACTCTCCGCCGTTTTGATGTGGAATCCGTTCACCGCCCTTTTCCCGACCGTCTCCGGTAATCCTCCCAAAAACAGGAATTGTTTTGTCGACAGTTCAAACATCTCAATTTTCCCGAAGTTCACAACTGTTTGAGTGGACAGATTGTCAATGGTAAGTCCAACTTTATTGCCCGAGACTGACACCTTCATTCGATGGGGAGCTCCGTCGTTGACTGGAAAATAAAAGTGTCATCAAAATGAGAGAAAATTACAGTAAAAGCTTGAGGTTTTCCTGCATGAAAAAACAGTGGGATATATTTGCAAAACTTACTAATCGCGTAGCTGTAAAGATGGCTGGCTGGATAGTTGCCAACGTAAAAGCTGACCTTGACTCTTCCATCAAACAACTCCAAAGCCAAATGTGCCTTGCCGTCTCCGTAGTAGGCAATCACGCCGTCACTGAAATGATGGGTGTTACGGATGAGAAAAACTGTCAAAATTTGGTATAAAACTTGAAGCAGTTTTTCTTTGTGTTTTGTGGGTACACTGATACAGACTAGCTTGTAAATGGGCCTCAAATGACGATATATTTATGAATTGTCAATCCCCAGTCTGCTGGGGGGCCTGATCCATTGACCATTTTTTACCCGGAAAGTATCAAAAATGTGGTAAAATGCTTCCTCTCCAAGTGAAAAAACTTCGCTTTCAAAAGCGCGCCCTTCAAAACTAACTCTTTTCACTTGGATAGGGAAGCATTTTGCCACATTTGATGATTCCCGAATGCAAAATATTACGTTTTTTTTGCCACTGGATCGGGTCCGTCACTGTAAGGCCTGGCCCATGAATCGACTTCAATCAGCATTTTAGGATGTTTTGTAGCTCCGATCGTAAGGTTTTTTAATAAATCCGCTATAATCAAGATTCTCTTAATTTTTTCTTACTTTTTTGTATTACATTTCATATTTTCAGCCTTTTAAAAAAGTGTGTTACATACAAGTCTGCCGTTTTTCACAACCCAATTATTACGTTGCTCACCTTTTCTCGGTCCTCACCACGAACGACAAGTTCCCTTCCGGACTTGTTTCCCAAGGCGGTAGCGCTACATAACTGTCCTTTTTATCAAACCCAATCGTCTGTCGTTTATCGCAATCCTTTCCACTGTACCCATGCTCGCATTTACACTCCAACTCGTCCTCCTCATTCGCCACACATTGCCCATGCAAGCAAGTGTGCGGCGAACACGACGGAGGGTTGTCATTGTACAGGAGATTGGCCATAGAAGTCATCAGCTCGCAGTGTTGTCCGCTATAGCCAATTGGACAGTTGCATTCGTATTTGCCAAGCCCATCGACGCAGAGTCCTCCGTTCTGGCATTGGTGGGAATGACAGTCGTCGGCGTTTATTGTGCAGTTCTCGCCGGTGAAGCCGGTTTGGCACAAGCAGCTAGAAGTAAATGAATTGTGAGTAAATCAATCTTGCAGGGCCAAGGAATGACTGTAATTTATTTTGAAAAGGCAATTTTTTTAAGTGCACTATTGAAGCAACCCTCTTCGAGGATTTTTATCCGCTCAAGAGAAAGAAAGATTTTTGTTGCGAAATGACCTAAAAATAATAAAATTTACAGTATGTCGTCGCGGAAAGGCATTCTGCAAAAAATGAAAATGGTATCTTGCACCATTTTTCAAGGGCTTTCAAATGGTGTATATCACTTGCCATTTGATGAGGGTTCGTTTGTACACTTCCCTAGTTAGAAAAGGGAAGGGTTTAGAGACATTTTGGTCCCTTACGGGATGCAAAATGAGACGTTTTTTGCCATTGAATCCGGTCCCTCACTGTAGAATCAAGTACTGTCAAACCTATGGACAAAGGATTGCAAAGAATGTGAAAATAAATCCGTTCGTTATACGGAGGTTTTTTTGCATGGAGGTTTATCAGGCTGTCGGGAAAATAATGGGCACTCTGTGGCATCGAAAATTGCATTGCCGCCGAGAAAATGAATTGTGTTGCAGCAAAACCAAATTGCTTTTCACTCGCGATCGGCGCAGCAAGATTATGCTCATTACTTTCCCGACAGACTGATAAAAGGTATTACGCTTTTTCAAAAGTGCGTAGACTTGTTTGCCCTTTTTTCGAAAGTACTAGTAGTACCTGTAGTTGGCTCCTCCATTGACGGGCAGACATTTTCCATTATTCTTGCAGGGATTCATGTCCTTTGTGCAGTAGACCAACTTCTTCTCGCAGAACTTCCCACTGAACATCGGAGGGCATTCACATTTGTAACCGTTGATCTGAAAACACAATTTTAGCTACTATTTTGAATCAACTAAATGATAGTAAAAGTCAAATTCTCACCATATCCAAGCACTTTGCGCCGTTTTGACACTTGTTGTTGGCACAATCATCAATATTGATCTCGCATCGCTCGCCGCGGAAACCTTTGGGACAGTAGCATTTGAATCGGCCTTCTTCGATCACTTTGCAAGTCCCATTATGATGGCAGGGGTCTCCATAACATGCGTCGATTTCGTGTTCACAAAGCGAGCCGTGAAAGCCGGCCGAACAAACGCATTTGAACGAGAGCGATGGCTGGCGCGTGCAGACTCCTAGAAACAGGAATGCTTACAATTTTAAGCTCTCGAGGAGGCTATGTGAAGGGAAAATCGGAAGTTATTACGCACGTCAAACTGAGTTGTCCGGTGACCGGAATAGACTCTTCGCTATCGGTTTTTTACACTTCGTCTTGATTTTGCAGAGAAAGAGAGAAAAAAACACGCAAAAGCGTACTCTCTCGCCCCAAAAATTCCCCATTTCTTCCCCGACAAAACGTTTTTTCGCGTCTTTTTTTGGTAAATTGCTAATCCATTCACCGGACTGTTTTAGATTATCTCAGTTTGAAGTGCGGCGTTATTTTTCCGACAGACTGATATACGCTGCAAAAAGCAAGAAATTGCACAGTGCAAAAGTAAACTTTTAGACTTTCACAGCGCATGCCGCCAAAATCACGCCAGCCTTTGTGAACGGACTACTACTCGCGCTCCAAGCTTTTGAGCGTGAGTAGTATTAACCTGTCGGAAAAATAATGAGCACAATGTCACTGCGCCGACCGGGTCGCTGAAGTGAAAAGCAATTTGATTTTGACGCGAAGACAATTCATTTTCTCGGCAGCGATGGGATTTTTTCGACGCAACGGAGTGCTCATTATTTTTTAGACAGAGTGATATTACTGTATGTACTTACCATGATTCCTGCACGGATTAACAGCACATGCGTCACACTTGGCCTCCACCTCATTGTCCTTCTCCTTCCCGCATTCGAATCGGCTCTCATCCGAAGTCAGCAGCAACTTATTTCTCAAGTGCTTTGGCGATTCGCATCGCGCAATTCCCGGCTCCACAAATCGCTCCTTAATCCAATGGGAGAACCATTTGAGCCGACAATCGCAATGCAGTTGGTTCGCGCCCACGGCAATATGGCTCAAATTGAAGTGCAGATCGCTGAACGCGTTCTCCGGCAGAATGGCGATGCGATTCCCATGCAAGGAGAGGATTTTCAAACTCGAAAGGCCCTGAAAAGCCCTCTCCTCAATGCATTGCAGCTCGTTGTAGGCCAATATCAAGGTGTGGAGTTGAGATTGAGCGGAGAAAACGTCGCTTTCGATGATTTTTAGGTGGTTCTGAGAGAGATCTCTGCAAAAAGGGGTTGGTTTTGTTGCAATGTTAAGGTAACTATGTATTATATGTATACATACAGTGGTGGACCTGATCCAGTGGCAAAAAACGTATCATTTTGCATTCGGGAAGTACCAAAAATGTAGCAAAATACCTCCTTCTCCAAGTGAAAAAACTCCGATTTGAAAAGCGCGCCCGCTCTTTTTGTGAGGGCCATTCAAAACCGAGATTTTTAGTCGGAAAGAGATGTATTTTGCAATATTTTTGATACTTCCAGGATGCAAAATGGTACGTTTTTTGTCACTGGATCAGGTCCGTCACTGTACAAGAGAAGTACCACAAGTGCGACGCTCAAGTTTTGATTGAAATTAAGCACAAATTTAAAACATTTTTTTCTCTAATGCTTCTGCGAGTCTCCCAGCAAGACAACGAAAAATTTCGACCATTTTTCGGGCTAAAAATCTTGTTTTTCGCTGCAAATCCTGAACTCGGAGTCTCGTAAACCGCCTAGAAGAAATACAGACAAAGCTTGGGCCAGGTTTCCTTGATCTTTTTTCAGTCGGTCGGAAAAATAATGTGAATTTGACGCAGATTGAAATCACTCATTATCGCTTTGCTATGACTAGCCCTTGTCTGGAGGTTGTAAACTCGCCTCCAAAGCTTATCAATTATGGTACCAGGAATTCCTTTTATGGGAATTAAATTTTTTGCGTTAATAAAGATAATATTTGGAACCGATCACTTGACTTCTCTGAACGTCAAGACCACAATCTGTCTCTTTTTTGCTGATGCAGCACAGAAGGGAGGATCAACAGTCAACAGTAAAAAGACCTTTCCAGATAAAGAGACCTGGAAAGGTCCGGATTCTGCAGTACAAGGTAGAGAGATGCCCCCGGACGGTCTTACTGTGATTTGTAGCCAGTGATTGCGTCACTCGCACAATTTCCCCGAGGGAGGGGACACTTTTCTATGCAATTCTTGGTTTTTCTACGAAATTACAGCACTTTCTGCCGACTCCGATCACAAGTCGAGAGATGACTTGCACCCTTTTTGCTGATAAACAGACTCCGCCCCTTCTTTCCTTAAAAACGCGCCCCTCAGGCAGTGCTCCATCGTTTTCTCCAATCGGGTTCTGGTGGCCGGTTCGGTTTTCCAGAATCTCCATCCTCGCAATAATTATTCGCATACTTTCTGAGACTATGATTCATATTCTGATCAGTGTGGAGGACGTGGGACAGATGCAGCATTTCAGTCCGCCTTTGCGGATCCGTCGTTCCCGTCTGAAGCAGTGAATGCCTAAGGGCAATTACGCTCAGCCAGAGACAGCTGTATGCTTTGATTCTACACAACGATGATCCTGACCTACCAATGGTGAAGATCATCCCTTGCAATATGCCAGAGGACCCGCAATTTCCCTTTTGTACAAATTAAACCATTCTGATCTCATGTACAAATCTCCCACAGCCATCTATTCCATGGTATCTTCCCTTTCATGAATGCTATCAACAGAGCAATCCATCTCGGTTTGTCGCTTTAAATGAACCCATGATCTCCACTTTTTATTGTTACAACTTAATGTATTGTAAAAAGTTTCGAGTCATTATTCTGCTCAAGATTTATTGCAATAAAAGAAATTAATATTAATCGAAATGATTCGATTGAGAACCGGATGGAAGGGAGGGACTAAAAATAGGACAAGCTGCGTTGGGGTGTGCGCGCAAAGCGCCAACAAATTAGCCTGAGCCTAAGCGGCTAAGCAAACTAAGCCTAAGCTAAGCCTAAGCAGCCTAAGCGGCTAAGCAAACTAAGCCTAAGCCTATGCGCTAAGTCGCAGAGCGATAATGGGTGATTCCGAGGCGCGACGATCCGCCGTTATTTTCCCGACAGACCGATAGAATACCTACCCCCAAAGAATGCTGAAAATTGAGGCAAACCCACACCGTAATTCCAATCAAATTTGATTTCTAAAAATAGAATAAGACTTGTTCTTGAAATAATCAACAAGAACTGACCAGATTTACCTTGATTAACCTCCGATATAACAGTCTGAATTTCGGGGAAAAAATAACATTAGGGGGAAAGACTTGACCACCCCATGAAAAAAACCTGACCCGACCCGCAGTGGGGCGCGCAGCGGGCCCCGAAACCGCGTGTTTTAAAAACAAGGCCTTCTTTGATCACTTACAATTTGAGCAAATTTGGAAGCCTTCCAAAATGCTTTGCGGAGATCGCGGAGATCTCATTGTTATCCAGGTAGAGCTCCGTGGTGTCCGACGGGATGCCAAGCGGGAACTCCTTGAAGCCTCTGCCAGAACATCGCACGGTCTTGTTCTCACAAAGACACCCGGCTGGACAGTAGTTCCCGTCTTCGGCGCAGATCGAAAATGAGTCGCCTGAAAGATACGATAATGTTTTTTTAAGAAACGCATACCATCACAGATAAGCTGACTTGACTTGAGGCTCAAAATCTCCTTTCCGGCCAGTTCCTTGGGCCCCGCGCAAACCGGGGAATCGAAAATTTTGGAGCTCAAGTTTCTCTGAAGGTCCTCAACGAAGCTCTTTAGATGACAGTCACATTGCAGCTCATTGTTGGACAGGTATCTGAAAATCGAATCAGAAGTCAAGCCATTAAAATTATATCAGTCTGTCGGGAAAGTAATGAGCATGCTGTAGCTGCGCCGACCGCGTCGCTGAAGCGAAAATAAATTTGATTTTGCCGTGAAGACAGTTCATTTTCTCGGCGGCGATGCAATTTTCAATGCGACAGATGGCTCATTATTTTCCCGACGGACTGATAGTAAAGTGAGTGCGCCTCTATTAAGTCACCATATTTTTTCTTGTTGTTGTTGTTGTTGTTGGCACGTCTATACGAGGCCAATTGATATAACAGCCTGTCGGGAAAATAATGTGGATTATCGCAGAAAAAGGTCCTGATTTGTCGCAGTCGCACACCAAATCTCCAGCCGCGGCCAGCCATGGCAAAGCGATGATTGGAGATTTTAAAGTGCGACGAATCCACATTATTTTCCCGACAGACAGATATTAGCTATACTCATTTACCGTAGTATTTTTTAAGCTTCCCAAGCGCCCTAGAACTTACAAGTTCTTGATCTCGGTTAGGTTGTTAAAAGCGTGCTCGGTGACGCAGCGGAGATCGTTCTTTGCCAGCGATCTGAAGTGCAATTGCAATTATTGTTTGGTGAGCAGCTCGGTTTACCAAGCAAAAAATAAAAGAAGTAAAAAAATAAGACCTTACAAAAACTGCAACTTCCTGAAGCCGCCAAACGTTGGTTGGGTCACACACATTAACCGATTATCCGAAATGTCACTGCAAAACGAATAAACCAATAAAAACGGAGAGATTTACCACAAAATCAAAAAAAAAAGAAAGAATATTTGTCTGCCGGGAAAATAATGAGCATGATTTTGTCTTGACAGAGTGCTCATTATTTTCCCAACAGACTGATATACAAGTCTTTATCGAAAGAGCTTACAGAATCTCCAGGAAATTAGCTGTTTTCCCGAGGGCTTTGGTTGAAAAATGACGGATGTGATTTGATGACAAGTTCCTGAAAAAAATTAAAGGTTTTTATCGATTCAATGTTTCTAAAAGATTATGTCAAAAAGGCGTGCAGAACGAGCTGACGTTCAATAAAACTCCGCTGCACTAAGAAAAATTTGGATCCGTAAAACGAACAATAGAGGACCATGAAAGTGGTATGTTATTGGAGAGCCTGGGCCAAAAGTTGGCTCGTATAACCTCTGACAAGATTTGCTAGATGAATTTTGTTGTACAGCGGTGTACTTTGGCCAAAAATTGAACTAGGGGGGTTTTGACAAAGGGCTTTTTTAGGATAAATGTTGAAAACTTACAGCTCTTTCAAGTTTTGCATTCCATCCAGCGCTCCATTTTCGATGTTTTTAATTTGATTTTGTCCCAAATCTCTGAAAATTTTGAATTTTCAGAAACAGTCAACGTATTCTACTCACAATTTCCGCAGATTCTTTAGCCCTCCAAATCCGTCGGACACCTTGATCTCCTTCAAATTGTTCTTATTTAGCCGTAGCTCCGTGGTGAAGTGGGGCAACTCCTCTGGAACTTGATCCAATTCTCTGCCGCTGCAGTCGACCACAGTGTGATGACAGAAGCAGCCGGCCGGACAAGCGTTGTCGATGAAATATTCGCCAGCGGACTTTGTCACAAAGATCTCGGAACCTGAAGCAGGCGGAGTATAATACTATTTTTAGTCTGTCAGGAAAATAATAGGGACTTGTCACGCCTTAGAATCTTCCATTATCGCTGTGCGACGGCTATTCTTACCCTTGCATCGGAAGCTGCTTGCCGCAACACTCCCCAACTTCTTCTTGGCCATGCGCTTTGGGCCCTCGCATTTGGCTCCGCTCGTCTCGATTGGATGGTGATGAAGGTACTCGGCTAGCCATTCCTATAAAAAAAAGAGTAAAGCAACACGCGGCATAACATTTACAAGAGAAATTGACGATAGAATTAGATGAATGTTGGCCCAATTTTGGCTTCAGTGTGTTCAATTTTTTCTATTTTGTTCTGTCGCCCGCATCAAATTTTTTTTGCAGACTGCATATCGCCAAAATCACTCTAGCAAGTTTACGACCGGACTAGTAAAAGTATGAGAAAACCCCGCATTTCCTCTACCCGTCTCTCCTTATATCGCATGCTCTTTCAAGCAAAATAGTTTGGAATATCTAGGTTTCTGTTTGAAAGCATAGGCTAAAGCTCTAGCCCTTACATGGGGATTGATATATGTAGGACCAATTTAGAACCAGCGTGTAAAATTTTAATACTGTCTGGCTACCTGCCCTTTTTTAGAGATCAATATCAGTCTGTCGGGAGATTTTTTTCCGCGACGAATCCCATATTATTTTCCCGACAGACTGATATTAGCTGCACTTACCAAATTACAATCACAGATCAGCGGATTCCTTGCCAAGTGCAGAGTCTGCAGCATTTTCAAAGGCTGGAAAGTGCCATTCGCAATGCTCTTGATTTCATTGTCATATAAACTGAGCAGGTTTAGCATTCCCTGCTTCTTGAAGAGGTCCTTGCGAAGGCATTGAAGTTTATTGGCGTTCAGCAAAAGTAATTGTAGCTCAACCAAAGGATCAAACACGCCTTCAGGCAGATCCGTGATGTTGTTGGCGTAGAGGACCCTGAAATTAGAGGATAAAAGTTGTAGAAGCGATAAGATACATATGCATGATGACAAAAATTGCTAGAAGCTCCGCTTACAATGTGTTCAAGGAAGATAGTCCAGAAAATGCCTCGGGATCAACGGTGTGGATATTGTTCTTGGACAGGTCGCTGAAATCAGGTAGAGTAAATATGTAAATTATAAAGATTTTTTTCTTTTTCTTTTTTTGTATAACTTACAGTCTTCTCAAGTTCTTCATAGGCTTGAACACATCTTTCGGGATCTGAGTGATGTGGTTCTGCTCTAGTCGCCTGAAAAATACATTTTGAAAAAAACAAAAGCATTGAAATTGTTGTAAAATACGCTGCCCCTCGAAAACACACCACTAGCTGGCTGGTTATCGTGCAAACTTTTAGAGCAAAGTTAGCACAGCAAACTATCGTACAGTCCGTTATAGCGAAACCTAGCTATAACGAATAATTTCACTATTTAAATTTGTCTAAAATACGCTTAATTGGTTGTATCAATCAGATTAGAAATTATTTTCAGAAAGGAAAAATAATGTCGTGCCGCTGAACTTAAAAGCAAACGCATATCTTGTGGCGATACAGTTCATTTTCTCGCCATGCGACAGAGTGCTCATTATTCTCCCAAACAACTTGGTGGACAGGCAATTTGTCTAGCGCACTAAAGTTGAAAGTTAAAACAAGTTAACATTCGAAAAAATGGGTTGGATTTTCTAAATCAGCACGATGAATACCATTTCCCACACCCCTCCAGACCTCAATAAGATTAGAAAAGTCTTTTTTTGTGGACCTTTCCGTTCCCAACTATTCTGTAGGAGCCGAACCGTGGCCGACAAAAGAAAATATTATACAAATCGGACGTGGCCGCAAAATTGGCGCAACTATGCAGCAAAAAGCCCATGCATTTTACTCTACGTATTGTAGCAAACCCAAAGATCCAACAAATCTCAGTCCCCGAACTTACAACTCCGTTGTGGATGTTGGCAGATTCATCGGGATGTATTTCAGTCCTCGATCTCTACAATCGACCGTCGTATCAGTGCAAGTGCATACGGCTGGGCAGACTCTGGCTTCTTGGCAAGAACTTGCGGCCCTTTTCTCAATCCCCGAGCATTTCATGTATTGGATGTCGACGCTGGCGATATTCCGGCCTTGCAGCATGGCGGGTCGATGGCATTTGACGTTGGAGAGGAGTTCAGTGGCTGTTGAGACGTGCTTCAGCCATTTGAGGCGGCAATCGCAATGCCAGGGGTTGTCAAATAGGCGGCTGAATGTGGGAAATGGGGTAAATATTATATTATATAAGTTTGTCGGGAAAATAATGAGCGCTCTGTCGCATGAAAAATTTGTGCTCATTTTCCCGACAGACTGAAGATCATGACTTCTTCATTTTTTTGCCTTGAAATATTTCACTTATCCGCAAAAACCACTTACAAAACCCTCAAGTTTGGGTTAACCGCGATCTCTCCCATCGTATTCAGACTATTTCCATTCAAAGTTAAAATTTCCATTTCATTCCAGCTGGAGATCAGTTGAGTGTCCAGACAAGTCAATCGATTTTTGTCCAGCTGCAGATTCCGCATCGATTTGGGGCCAATGAGATGGTCATCCGTGATGACGGCCAGTTGATTTTCACTCAGATCTCTGGAAAAATGATGACTTTTTATGGAATTTTTGCTTTTTTTTTGTTATTTTGAATGTTTATGTGATGCTTTGAGTATGGTTAAGGCATTAGCAATTAGGTTCTCAGATTTCTCAAGCCTTTTTCGAAGAGCTTTTGCATTAGGAACATGTGGGTTACGGATTACTCTCTTATCCCACGCTCTAATCCGGATCATAATTGGAGTATTGCGCATGAAATGCGCTTCCAGACATAATCTTTTTGAATAAGGAAGAGAGAGTGGGGGCTTTCAAATTAGAGCAAACAAGTTTTTTATCATTCTGTCGGGAAAATAACTTGGATTTGTTGCAGCGAAATGTCTCGCCTCGCTGCAGTCGGCCACCAAATCTCCGGCCGCGGCTAGCTGTCGCACAGCGATAATGCGCGATTCCCGACGAATTCACATTATTTTACCGACAAACTGATATTAAGGGTTCCTATCATTTTGAGACAGAGTGTGTATGGGTCTGTTATGCGTACATTTTTCTCCATATTCTCTATATAGACTTGGCTACTCGGACCTGCTAAATTTCTACGTTGTGGGCTAGCTATGTCGTTCACGAGTCCGCTGAGCAGATATTCTACAGTAGCTGGGCCTTTTGTTTATCTACTTCTGTCAAAATGGTCCCGGCGTGCCCCTTTTGCCAGTCCGTGTTCCCGCCAAGCTCCGAAGCCAGTTCGATGAAAGTGCCAAGCCGTACCCGATTTGATCACTTGGAGGAGATGTTAGGCGGAACAACCGAACTTCGAGCCCGAATTCCTACGGAAATCAGCATTTATAATTCAAATTTGATTGCACTTTCCTACGTGGGATTTCCCTATATAAAGACCGCTTTTCACTCGATAAATCACTTGAACTCGAGCTTCTCGCCTTATCGTGTGGTTGTCCCTTGGCCTCTCGACAGTTTGTCCACTTCTATCAAAACTTGATGTGTTGAGGGCATAGCAGTACAAGAAAACCTTCGCTACTCCGGCCACTTGTGCTCTTCACATCCTCAAACTGTCAATTACTCAAAGGTCGCCCAACCACCTTCACCTTTCGCTTTCCCCAGCTAATTAATCCCAACTTGTGTTCGCTAATTGCGCACTCAAGTAAACAATATGCAAAAGTCAGGGGAAGGCCTTGAGAACTTGTTCATGACCTTTTGCGGCTAATTGCATAAATTGTTGCGTCCTCTTTGGGTCAAACAAGGTAAGTGCTTCAATTGGGGGCGTTCAGATTTTGATGAAACTTGGCACAAATTTAGGGTAATTTTTTCTAAGAAATATGCGAAATGCCGGTATAACTTCCGCAAAGCGGCCCACTCTCGAAAATCGCCTTCGCAGCTTGCGCCCGAACAATTCCGGTTGCAAGGAATATCAGGCTTAGGCTTAGCCTCAGGCTTAGGCTGAGCCTCAGGCTTAGGCTTAGCCTCAGGCTTAGGCAGGTTAGGCTTAGCCTCAGGCTTAGGCTTAGCCTCAGGCTTAGGCTGTTTCCTATTTTGTTCGCAGTCTGCAGGGAAACCAGGGCGCAAGCTGCTAGTGCAGAAAAATTTTCTTTTTTGAGAGTGGGCCGCTTTCCGGAAGTTTTTCCGAAATTCCTGGCTCACGTTTTTCAAAAGCGACCGATTTTTTTGATCGAAAAATTTCTACTGTAGAGGGTAATGTTTCCATAAAAAATCAATTTTTTCGCATAAGACTGGCAGAGATATGGCCAAAAACTTGCTTTTTCTGTCCGATCTCCGAATTTCGCGCACTCTCTCGGCCACAAAGATCGGTGGTCCTTGCAAAGCGCCTCTCAGCGGTCCTTGCAAAGCGCGAGCTAGGATTTTCAGGGATTGATTAGAATCCCATTCAGCTTATCCTTGCAAAATTCACTGAGATGCCATTTTATACGATAAAACATGTTTAGCCGTATGACATGTCTCTGTAAATAATTCTGAACTGTTGCACTTGGGGTATATTGTCAGATATTCTACGGTATCAAAAACCTTCACTATTAGTCATTTCGCTCTTGTCCATTGGTCTCTGAATTTGCTCAATAAAACCGACTTTTAAAGGCCTTTTGACAAACTGAATGGGACGACTGTTTTTAATTCGCTTTCGGGACCCGGAATGATCTAATGAAGCCCATAAAATCGGCGAAAGAACTCCGCAAAACTAACATTATTCTTCCTTTGATTTGTAACAACATCATCTCGGCCCAGCGGGCCAAAAAGACATTTCGGGGAAAGATATAAAAGATAGCATTCCATTCGGTGGTATTTCAGCAACAATATACGGTTGAACATACATGCAGATACATAAAGGATAATGCCTCTGTAAAACGGATCAGAATTTCCATAAGCATTGTATTTCGATCCCACAGAGGGCTCATTATTTTCCCGACAGATAGTACTAGTAAACGTTTTCGAAACGGTTAGCCTTTTAATTAAAATTTGTGCCAAGTTGCACCATTTTTTTGCATGTTACTTCTGCATTTAATGACATCATTATAACTGAGTTTTCTACTTTCAAACTCAAAAATTCTCCAGTCAAATCCATTTCCAAAATATGACTTGTAACTCAAAATTCTCTTGCCTATTACAACATCCGTTGACCTCAAAATTTTAACGGCTCTTCTGCTCCCGAAAATTTAATGTTGGCTCGTAAAAGCGATGAGGAATTGGACATGTCTTAATTTTTGTCACTTCATAAAAATTTTGACCCATTTTTTCGCAGCGGAAACATGACAAGCCAAAGCCCTAGCGATCTTGATAACATTCCGTTTACGGTAGGCTGGCAACATTTAGGGGTTTATAAAAAATATTCGGGGATTTTTTGCAAAAGAAAGGCATAAAAAGGGGGGCAAACAAGGTCAAAAAATTTGTTAATGACGGGAAATTAATTAAATTTTTATTTGAATATAAAAATTTTTTGGGTCAGAAAAAGATCGGAATATCAGTCTGTCGGGAAAATAATGAGCACCCAGTCGTATTTCGCCAGCGGACTTGGTCACAAAGATCTCAATACTTGAGGTAATGAAGTCTATACACTTTATGAAAATCCTATTATCAGTCTGTCGGGAAAATAGTGTGGACTTTTCGCGCCTTCGAATCGCCCATTATCGCTGTGCGAAAGTTGGTGACGGCTGGAGATTTGGAGACATTTTACCGCGACAAGTCCACGTTATTTTCCCGACAGACAAATATCAGTTTGTCGGGAAAATAATGAACCCTTCGTCGCATCGAAAATCGTATCGCCGCCGAGAAAATGAATTGTTTCGCTACAGAATTAAATTGCTTTCGGCGAACCCACAGAGTGCCCATTATTTTCCCGACAGACTGATAAACAAGCTTTCTCGTACAGGAGCCTGTTGTAGAGAGGTTTAACATTGTCTACGACGCCTTTCCTTACAATTTGTTGGACCCTTACACCCGAATTTTTGTATCGACATTTCCCCATAAATTCAGCGCGCACAAAGTCAAAGTCCGGTTTCAATTCTTCATTTTCGGCCTTCTCTTTGATTTCTTGCGAAACTTTTTTGCGCACAAATCAAAGTGAGACAAAAGGGAGCCCGGAAGCTGGCGAAAATAAAATGCAAATTTTGAAAAAATCTTTTTTTTAAATCCTAAAATACGCTCTGTTTTAGAAAGCGCATAAGGTTAATATTGAATATCAGTCTGTTGAGAAAATAATGTGGATTGTCGCTAATTTTGGAGGCTCACAAATTAACCCAAAATCCAACCTCTGTAAAACAAAACCCTTCTATAACGAATATTAAATTTTTTTGCCTGTCCGTTATACAGAGACTTTATGCATTCCATTCGAAACCGTTTCTTATTTTTTTACATATCTTTTATATTTTTACCCTTTCGACTTTTGTATTTTTATGGGTTCGCTGTTGAATGCCATAAAAGGCGATGGAATAAAAGAATCAAAGAAATGCCAAGCCGACGAACAGAGGGTTACAGTTATGAGAAAATTGGTTGTGCAATAGGAAGGGGTTGCGCAATGCAGAGGGGGATTAGACAGGTCATCGCAAAACTATTTTTTTTTTGATTTTTGAAAAAAAAATTTTAATTAAAAAAAAATTTTTTTTTAATTTTAAACAAAATTTTGTTAAAAAAAATTTTTTTTTTTTGATTTTTTGCTGTTAAATCTGTATTTAATTAAATTTTTTTGATTTTTTTAATAAAAAATTTTTTTTTCTTTATTTTTTTTAATAAAAAACTAAAAAAAAATTTTTTTCTTGCCTACTGCAAAGTGTTGACTATAATATTTTTGCTCCAAATATACATCTCCTCCACCTCCCAACTTGTTTTCCAGCCATCCGTTTTGATTATTTATCGCCCGTCCAATGGGGCCCACGTCAAAGTCATTCAAAATTTTCGGACTCCAATTCTCGCAAAAGACGGGGATTGGTGCTGGTGTCAAGTTCTCCGAAATTGTTCGATAATCAAAGGTTGTGACGTTCGGATCAGTTTTACGAAATTCTAGGGCTTTGCGGATCAAGTTGAGAGATTTTGAAAAAAAAATTGGCTTGAAGAAAAAAAATAAAAATTGAGATGAAAAACCAAAAAAATTCACATTTCGATGACAAAAAAAGTCCTCCAATTATGGCCAAAATTTGGCACAGAGCAAAATGTATATAATGTATAAGTTTTTTAATAATTTTAATTATTTTGGCCCAGTTTTGAAAAAAATTACATTTTTTCTTGTTGCGAAAATCCATCCATGTTAAGGATCACATTTATGTGTACAGTTGCATAAGAAAATTGCTTTTTTTCCCAAAAGATAATCCCAAAAGTTATATTAAAGCCCAAAAAATATTTTTTTTTCTCTGACTGACTCTCCTCATTTTGCGTACTCTCTCGAAAAAAAGATTGTTGAATATCTCGGTGGGACATGAAAATTATGAGTCAAAATTTTTAGTGGTTGTTACAAATTCCAAAAAATCGACCGAATAGGAAAATTTTTTATCACTTTTTAAAAAGACTTCTTTTCTTTCTCTATAAGTAGCAGTTTACAAAATAAAATTCAAATTCAACTTGCTGATCTCTCATTTCTCCCTCGGAACACTAAATTCCACTGCTCCGAGGTTTTATGTTTATCATAGTGTCGTCTTGTGTCTTTTGGCAAAGGAAAAAAGGGTTTTACAAGCCCGGTTTTACGACCGCCGACTGAGAGCTTCCAAAAATCTTTTCGATTTTTTCTTCGATTTTTTTTTCGAAAACCAATCAAGTTTTTTTCAGGTACAACAAAAAAATATATTTATTTGCTCTAACAAGGCTGTGTTGTACAAAAACTAATTTTGACTTGAAATGGGTTCAAACGGACTTTTAGTTCGTTATAGTGAAGTTTCACTGCACTGAGGGTTCTATTTCTAATTTTTCTGACAAGAAAAGCACTTCTATGGAGTATGAAGTTACCGGTCGAAACATATATCATAAAATCGAAATTTTTTTGATTTAGAATATGTAAAAATTAGCTGCCCAGTTTTGGCTTGTAAGGGCAAAAAACCCTCACAAGGGAAGTCACCTTTTTCGCAAACGGACATCGGAACGGGACCTAGTAGGTTTCAAACCTGAAGCGTCTGCGATCATACAACTGATTTCCAAAAGTGTTTACGGGGCTTACGACCGAAGTCGAACTCACGTCTTCTGGCGCAAGAAGCGAGCGCGCTGACCATGCCACCGCTGCAGATGAAATACGCTGTTTCTTTTGAGGAGGCTATTCGCTCATTTCGGCTAAACTTTGTGGTCGATTTTCTCGGCCGAGAAGCCCCGTAAACACTTTTGGAAATCAGTTTTATGATCGCAGACGCTTCACGTTTGAAACCTACTAGGTGCCGTTCCAACGTCCGTCTGCGAAAAAAGTGACTTCCCTTGTCAGAACTTTTCTCGCAACACCATGCAAAAGCCCCTTTTTTACATTTGAACCACTAATTTAGGTGTATTATTAATCAAGTTTGATATTTTAAGGCTTTGCCAGGGCTTACGTTAACTCAAAACAAAGCTTTTGAATTGGCAAAAACTTGGTCAAAAAGGCATTTGCGAGTGTTGCAAGAAAAGTTTTGAGGGTTCTTTCGCCCTTACAAACCAAAATTGGGCAGTAATTTTTACATATTCTGAATCAGAGAAATTTTCGATTTTGTGATACATGTCTCGACCTGTAACTCCATAACCCATAGAAACACTTTCCTTGCGAAAAATTTCAAGCCGAAAATCCGAAAAACAAGGCTCTCTTGAGCTCTAGTAGCTTATTCTCCCGCTCATCGCTCTTACGCAAGTATGCTAATAAGCCCTTCGAGTGTTATTCAAATTTCGTCGCGGACGAAAATCTCGAAATTTTCCCGTTTTTGAAATCAAATTTGAGCAAAAAAAACAATGAGACTCGCTTCTTTGGATAATATGTATTTGAGGCAAACAAGAGGCTGGAGATAATTTGTCGCCAGGAAAATTGGATCAAATTATATTGGACTTGAGATGAGAAGGCGTCGGAGTTACGCTTGAGGTGGTTTTGCAAATATTCCTGTGAATTGGGAAGCTGAGAGGGTTGTGGGTTCGAAAAGCAATGTTTTTTTGGTATTTTGACAAAGAAAAAATTGAGAAAAGAATGTGTGAAATATTCAAAAAATAGCTGACAAGGGAAGTACTCCAAGTGCGACGCTCAGATTTTCTTTAAATTTTGCCCACCCGTCGGGTATGGACTAAATATCAATTCCTGAAAGTTTTAGCTCGCGCTTTGCGGGCGCCGCCGAGATATCGAACGATTCTTGCCGCCGAGAGAGCACGATAAACGTGGAGAGCGGTCAGAGAGAAAACCCGCTTTTTGGCCATAACTTTGGCAGTTTCGTGCGGAAAAGTTTGATTTTTTGTAGAGACATTGTCCTTTACGGTTGAAATAGGCATGAAACTTTTCGTGCCGAAATTCGGCAAAAAGTCCTAAATTTTGGCCGACTTTTGATCTAAAAATCTCGGTTGTTTCTGCAAAGCGCAAGCTAGAATTCTCGCATATATCTTAGAAAAAATTATTATAAATTTGTGCCAAGTTTCATCAAAATCTGGGGTCGCACTTGGAGCACTTCCCTTGTAAGCCATACGTTTTTTGACAAAAAAATAAGAAAAAATTGATTTTAAAATACGGCATATCCAGAAACCATTTCACAAAAAAAGTACCTCAAAATTTTGCACACACTTCGGAGATGGACCACCTGTCAGTCTGTCGGGAAAATAATGAGCAAAATGTCGCTGCGCCGATCGTGCCGCTGAAGTGAAAAAAAATTGCTTTGTCGCGAAGGCCATTCGTTTTCACGGCCGATTTTCGCTGCGACAGAGCGCTCATTACTTTCCCGACAGACTGAAAATGCATCATGATTTTCCATACAAGGCTAAATATTCAAATCAGTTGCGGTCAAGAGAGTGCGCGAAAAGGAGAGAGCGGTCAGAGAGAAAAACACTTTTTGGCCGTATCTTTGCTAATTTCTTAGGGGAAAAATTGATTTTTTGTGGGAACATTACATTTTATAGTAGAAATAAGCATAAAGTTTTTCATCTCCAAAAAGTCGCAAAAAAATGTCATAAGCAAAGCGCAAGCTTGAAATCTTGTATATAACTTGTATAAAATTACTCTCAATTTGTGCCAAGTTTTATCAAAATCTGAGCGTCGCATTTGGAGAACTTCCCAGTAAAATTTGTGTCAGAGTCTCACCACTTTTTTTCACCCGTTTCGAAACCCCCGTTTTTCTATTAATTTCTGTTTTTTGGGCTCGCGAAAATTTGCATTAAACGGTCCCCAGCGAATATTTCACGAATATATCCGAAAGAAGACAAATTTTCTCTTCTTTTGTCCGACTACTTGTCAACAAAGCCGAGTAAACGCTCTTCTTATAAGAGTCTTATACAAGGGGTTTCTGATATGGGTTGGCATTTGTTCGGAAGGCCAAAAATGGAGGGAAATCTTGGATAAACAGTAAAAAAATTATAAATGGGGGGAGAAAAAAGAAAAATATTTTTATATTATAAAAATAAAAAACATAACTTGAAAAATTTAAAAAAAAAAATTTAAATAAAAAATAATGCTTTAATTTTTTAATTACCTTTTTTTGAAAATTGTAAAAATAAAAATGAAAAAATTTTTGAGAATAAAAAAAAATGAAAAATTTAAAAAAATAAAAAACATAACTTTTTTAAAATAAAAAAAAATGAAAAATAAAAAAAAATTTTAAATAAAAAATAATTCTTTTTTATTTTTTAAAATTTTTGTATTTTTTTTTGAAAATTGTAAAAAAAATAAAAAAAATATTTTTTTGAGAATAAAAAAAATGAAAAATTTAAAAAAATAAAAAACATAACTTTTTCAAGATTTTAAAAAATTTGAAAAATAAAAAAAAAAGTTAAAAAAAAATAATTCTTGATTATTTTCTAAAATTTTTTAATTCTTTTTTGGAAAAGTGTAAAAAAAATAAAAAAAAATATTTTTTGAGAATAAAAAAATTGAAAAATTTTAAAAAATTAAAAACACAACTTTTTTAAAATTTTTAAAAAATGAAAAATAAAAAAAAACTTTAAATAAAAAACAATTCTTTTTTATTTTAAAAAAAATTTTAAATTCACTTACAGCCGATGCAGCTTCGGATTTTGCTCAAACAATTTCTCCGGGATTGTCTGCAGAAGGTTTCGATTGAGCCGTCTAAAACTCAAAAAATTAATTTCTCAGACGAAAAATCCTACACTAATTGCAAATTTACAAAACTGGAAATGCGCCAATATTGGAGATTAGAAAACTTACAATCTCTCCAAATTCCTCAACTCATCGAAAGCGCCGCTTTCGATTGTCGCCAGCTTGTTGTCTTGTAATTGGCTGGAAATTGAAGTTAATGGATGGAAAAAATGAAAAAAAATATAATTTTTTAGTCATCAAAAATAAAAAAAAAACAATTTTTTAGTCATCGCAAATAAAAAAATATAAAATTTTGGTCAAAAAACAAATAAAAAATGACTTACAGTATCTTCAAATGCGTCAGCTTTGCCAAGTCCTTTTTGCCAATCTTTGAGATTTGATTTTCTTGAAGATCTCTGAAAAAAACGAAAATAAAAAAAAACGAAAAATGAAAAATATCAAAAAATCGTGAAATTTTTGATTCTTTAAATTTTTTCGAGGTTAAAAATAATTTTTTTTTTATTTTTTTTTATTTTTTTATTTAAAAATATATATAATCAAACCTCTGTACAGCAAAACCTCTCTATAACAAACAATTTTTCTTTTGATTTTTTGAATTTTTTCGAGGTTTAAAAATTTATTTTTTTAATTTTTTTATTTTTTTTTGTTTAAAAATATATACAAGCAAGCCTCTGTACAGCAAAACCTCTCCATAACAAACTATTTTAAAGGCCCTAAATGCCAATTTTAGGCCGAAATTGGGCTCAAAAAAAGCAAAACCTTTCCATAACAAACATTCTTTTATATACCCAAAATTTGTTATACAAAGGTTTTATTATAAAAAAATTCGTTATACCAAGTTTTTTTAGGCCGAAATTGGCCTCCGAAAAACAAAACCTTTCTATAACAAACATTTTTTTATATACCCAAAATTTGTTATACAAAAGTTTTATTGTAAAAAAAATTCGTTATACCAAGTTTTTCACCCAAAAAATGACCTCAAACTTACAATCGAACGGTATTTTCCGGGATCCCATCGGGAATCCGAGTCAAGTCTTTCTTTATGCAATTCACTATCCCACTGTTGCATGAGCAATGTTCCGGACAACATAACACTTCAGTCAAGGTAAATACAAGTGTCAAAAATATCCAGAGGGATCTTGAATAGGGCCATTTGAAATTGGGATGGGACATTTTCCCAGAAAAATCGAGGAAAACTCAAATTTTCGGTAAATCAAGAATGATTTCTTGGGAGAAGCTGAAAATGAAATTGAAAATCAAAGTGAAAATGGTATTTTAAAGACTGGAAAATCTGTTTTATACCGCGTATTTTATAAAAACCCAAAAAAAAACTCAAAATTTTTTTAAATAATCCATTTTTCAGAGCAAAAATCTAAGTTTTCGATAAAAAAATCAAATTTTCCAACAAAAAATCAACTTTTTTACCCAGGAAAATTACTTTTTCCTTAAAAAAATCAATTTTTCCCCCTAAAAATCAAATTTTTCTTCCAAAAAATCCCGAAAATCAGCTTTAATCGGCCAAAACTTTCCCCAAAAATCCCAACAAGTCCCCCCGTCAGAGATTGGCAGTAGCGGGCGGAAAAGAGGCGGGAGAGGATCTGAGGAGTTTCGCGAAATATCTTGTCCTTCCGCTCGGGCTCCGCCCCTCGTTTTCGGAATGTCTCCGACTCTTGTCTTTGCAAATGAAAAGTGAGCGATTTGGAGTGGGCAAAACAGGGACGAATAAATAAGAATATGGAGATGGGAAAGTTGAGTGAAATTTTGAGAAAAAATTTTGTGTCGCTGAAAGCTATGTATGACAAACCACAAAGTATTAAAAAATTATGTTTTTTACACAGTCTGTCGGGAAAATAATGAGCAATCCGTCGGATCGAAAATTGCATCGCCGCCTAGAAAATGAATTGTGTCGTGGAAAAAACAAATTGTTTCCCAGTTCATCGATGCCATTGGCGGAGTGATTTTCCAGACGGACTGATAAATACAGGGTGGGGCATCTTTGTGGCCTGATTTGAATTGGCTATAACTTCTTTCGTTTTTGGCCAAATCTTAAAGTTCTTTTTTGCTCTGAATCCTCAGACAACCCCATTTTGTTTGATACCAAATATTATATGTTATACATACGGGAAGGTTTTGAATTCGAGAAAAAAATCGTTAATTTGAAAGACGTGCATGACGAATTGCGGTGGTCCAAAAAAATGTTTTTTAAACCATAGTACCAGTCTGCCAAGAAAATACTGGGTGCAATACAGAAATGAAAAGCAAATTGATTTTGCCGCGACACTGTTCATTTTCCCGGCGGAGATGCGATCTTCGATGCGACAGGTGCTTATTATTTTCGCGACAGACTGGTAGTCTGGTAGTATTTTCATCAAGTGCATGGACATTTTGTAGTGGCACGCATCGTGCACAAAAAACTCCCATTTTGCACCGCGATTTCATTTTTTTGGTTTCGCACCGTGCATCGAACATATCGACTTGGCCTTACGGAGATATGGCCAAAAATAGACTTTTTTCTCTGCTATTATTTCATCAAAATAGTTTGTTTGCTGTGTGTTGTACAGAAGTTCTACTGAACGGTTCCTTTCGGAAAAAAACGTCATACACTGCAAGCATCAGTTCATAACGTATTTTACAAATAGAAAATTCACACCTTCGAAAACCCTAAATCCAGTATTTTTTGAAAATTTTCAAACAATTACTATTTAACAGTACTACTTAAGAAACAACTAACAACTAGAAAAAATGAACATGATTTTCGAAATCAGCACCCACGAAAACCCTATATTCAGTATTTTTAAAAAATTTCAAGAAGTTACTTTTTAACACTACTACTTTAGGAAAAATAGTAAAGTTCTGAAAAAAAGAACATGATTTTTGAAATCAGCACCCTCGAAAACCTTTATATCGAGTATTTGTGAAAAAAATCAAAAATTACTACTTTACAGTACTACTTAAGAAAAAAAGAAAGAATCAAAAAAATGAACATGATTTTTGAAATCAGCACCATCGAAAACCCTAATTTCGATATTTGCCTCGAAGAAAATAATACTTTTCGGTTTCCCCAATCGTACTTTCCCCCAATCCTCTTTTTCCCCAATCGTCCCAGTTCCAAAGCAACTAGGGAGAGTCTTACATACAATCAAAGATTGGGCTAGACTTGGCAATCGGGCCGGCCCGGGGCTTTTTCACAAGGAAAGTACTTTTATGGGGGGCTCATACTTTTTGACGGGACATATCTCAAAAAATCAGAAAAAATGTGCTGATCAAGGATATATAAATCTTAGCTGCCCATTTTGGGGTTTTATGGGTGAAAATGCCCAAGAACTGGCTTAATTTCCCTACAAAAGGCGCAGGCATTCGAAACGATAAAAAGCGCAGCCGGTCTCTTCCTACGGAAGAGAGCGGTGTGGCCGAGTAGTTAGTGCCGTAGTCTGGGAATCAAGAGGGCGAAAGCCGCACGGGTTCAATTTTCCTTTTGGGCTGAATCAACTTTTTTTGAAGATGAAGGTCGGAAAAATAAATTTTTGTGCCAAGACTGATCTATTACGTCTTAGAAACTCAATAAACATCATTTTAAGCCAAGATAAAAATTGTAAACCTGTGAAAAATTAAGCGAAAATGGGTTTATATAGGACTTTAAGCCAACTTCCGATCGATTTTTCACCCCTAAAAACCTAAAATGGGCAGCTAAGATTTATATTTCCTTGATCAGCACATTTTTTCTGATTTTTTGAGCTATGTCCCGTCAAAAAGTAGGAGCCCCCATAAAAGTACTTTCCTTGTCAAATCTACTCAGGCCTGGCCCGGGCCCATTCCCACCTTTAGATGGGACAAAGAAGATTTTTGAAACTTTTCATGCGGGTGCTGAATTAGAATTAGTCAAGAATCAATCGCGAAAGTCTTGGAATTACCCAAAGATAGATCATGAACTATCTTCATTTTTTCTATGAACTAAACCTTATTTTGGCGCGAGTGTCGCAAAAAATCCCACAGGTTCAAAAAATCCGCGTATTTTACCAAAGAAGCGAAAAAAAAATCATAAAAAATCATCACGAAATTGAAAACAAAAGCGCTGGCGCTTTGTCACAAGGAGTATAAAATTATGCATTTAATCAAATTTTATGGATAGCCGCGAATTATAAATGAAAACTAGGCGGCTGAAACAATCTCCGTCGGAAGAAATAACCGCTTGAATAAGCGGAAAAAAGAAAAACAAAAGTGGAAAAGGTTTCTGGGTACGAGGGGATCCGGGTGGGGGCGAAAGTTTTGCTCCAATTCTGATTAAAAGCTGGTTCAGATCCCTGAAAAAAGTAATCGTATTCGAGTTGGGTAGGGCGTTTGAAGACGTGGGCATACTACATGTCAGTCTGTCGGGAAAATATTGTGGATTTTTAGGGCAATGAAATCGCCTATTATGGCTTTGCGACGACCTGCCGAGGATTGGTGCGAAACGAGAAATTTTGCTGCGACAAATCCATATTATTTTTCCGACAGACTGATATCAACAAGTATTTGAGATCGTAAAATAGGTTTTGAGGTTGAGGCTTTTGATTCCAGATCGCCTTGCAGATATAAGTGAAATTTTTGTTTGTAAACAAGTATTTAAAACAAGTTCCAATAACGTACTTTAAAAACAAGGTGAGTAAAGAAGGATTTCGTTAATGAATTACAATTTCAGCAAATTTGGAAGCCTCCCAAAATGCTTCGTAGAGATTGCAAGATCTCATTGTTAGCCAGGTGCAACTCCGTTGAGTCCGAGGAAATTCCGAGCGCAAATTCTTTGAAGTCTTTTCCAGAATATCGTGTAGTCTTGTTCTCACAAAGGCATCCAGCTAGGCAGTAATAAATAAATCTTAAGTAAGTCTTCGACGCAGATTGAGTTCGCAAAGTCGTTGGACTGATTTTTGCGACATGCTTTGTGCGAAAAATCAAGGTGCCAGCGACAGCCCAGAACAGTCATTTGCACGGTGCAAAAATCAGCAAATTGCACAGCGCAACGTAAGCTTTTGTGTTTGCACAGTGCATGTTGCAGAAATTACTATGGCAATGCAATCAGAGCACCAACATTGCTCTCATGATTTTGCCGACAAGCTGATAGTATGGTATATCAGTCTGTCGGTAAAATAATGTGGACTTGTCGCAGCGAAGTGTCAAAGTGTCCAGCCTCGCCGCAGTCGCACACCAATGCTCCCCAGCCGTGGATAGCTGTCGTGAAGCGATGATGAGCGCACGGCAAACCGAAATATTAATAGAACAAAAATGTCTCTCGCCCACGTTTGAGTTTCGTCCAAACGAAGTGTCACAACTGACAAAAGCAATAAAATAATTTCGAGAAAAATATTTTTCCATCGAAAAGCAAGACGATACATTTTTGTTGTGACATTTCGTGTGAATTTGAACGATACTGGGTGTGCGAAGTGCCGAAACGAGGAGGGAGACTCCCTGGGTTGCCGTGAGCGCTTCCACGCGGCAAATTTATATTATTTTCCCGACAGACTGAAATAAAAAAGTATTTGAGGTTGTAAAATACGTCTAAACTTTCTATTCCGGATCGCCTTGGACAGATAAATTTTTTGTTTACTAAAAAAAACTTCTGACGGCTTTGCGGTCGGTGATAAAAAACATTTGGGCCGTAGATCTGCAACTCCATGCGGAAAAAATTATTTTTTTGTAGAACGTCATCGTAGCAACGAGGATGTGCACAGTTAAGCCTCTGTAGAATAATCTTGTACATAACAAACTCATAAAAAACATTTTTAAAGCTCCTTATGGTACTTATTTTACTGTCGATCTAAAATCATCAACCAAAACTTCATAAAAAATCGTTTTTTTCCACCCCAAACTTTTTGACCAAAAAAGTTCTCCCTATCCAATACCGACTTCACCCCGTTCCCCTTGACTGCCAGACGTTGCAACTCCCTAAAACTCTCCTTGTGTGAATAAAAAAAGTATAAAGTCGGGCGCGAACGGCGTTTCCCCCTCCATACCGTTGAGTCATGCAAATTTTCTCTAAACAAACCGTTCTCTCCGTCTCTCTGTGACCGAATTGTTATAAAAGTGCGAATGCAAATGTTTATGACTTTTTCCCCGAGTTCATATCGGAATTGGTCGGGCTGCTTTGTGGGTCAATGGGGGGTTCAACGGAAGCTGTGTGAAGGAAATTTGAAAAAAAATCGGGAAAAAAATTTTACAATGAAGCACTTGTACGTATAACGGTTTACAGAGATACATAAATTTCCGTTTTTACATTAATATCGCAATACTTCCTACGCCGTAATCTTGGAGATAATTCGTTGATCATTCAGGGCGCCTTCAAGAGAACCCTAGTGCTTCCGTTGGCAACCACATCAACTTACATGAGAAGCCTTGAATACTGTGAAGCGGAACGACCGAGCTTCGAGGATCTTCTCACGAGGAACAATCTACATTTATTCAAATTTGATTGTACTTTCCTACGTGGTGCTTCCCTATAAAAGGCCTGCTTTCCACTGACTAGATCACTTGACTCTTGAGTTCTCGTCTTGTCTCGTTACTGGGTTGTCGGGCCTTTCGACAAATACCAGGAAATCGCAGGAAATTTCAATGACTTTTTGCCACAAAGTCGCTGCGCGATCGTGTTGCTAAAGTGAAAAACAATTTGGTTTTGTCGCGACACAAATTCATTTTCTCCGCGACGATACTATGTTCGATGCGACAGAGTGCTCAATATTTCCCAACAGACTAATATAGGCCGAGATGTTCGACAATCGTTGCGGCGGAGAGTGTACAAAAATATCGGAGAGCGGTCAGAGATAAAAACAGTTTTCGGCCATATCTTTGCCAATTTCACGTGGAAAAAATTGATTTTTTTGTAAAAACATTACAGTATATAATAGAAATCAGCATACTGATAGAACTGATAGAAAGATGGCTATCATCATGTATACCGATGTCCTAGCGACTTTAGACGCTTACCCCTTGTGTGCCCGTTCCCTATCCTCCTTCTTCACACCAATATCACTATTGCCGGTGCTATCCGAATTATTGTATTTCTGGCTCAACTGACAACCAGGCATCGACTTCCTGCTCTCTGTGCGGCGCTTCAAGTCCGCCGAATCCAACGACGCATGGCTTTGGGATTGAGTCGGTCTGTTCACTCGCCCGTTCGCACCGGGCCGTTTGGCGTTCGCGGGCTGATAGCTGACGTCAATATCCACCTTTCGCCAATGTGTTTTGGAGTTGCGGGGCTGGGCGCTGAGATCGTCGTCTTGCTCGGACGACTTGGGCGAATGCAGCTTCTTGCTGCCTGCGAGGCGGAACGACCGTACTTCGAGCCCAACTTCCCAGGGAAATCATCATTTATTATTCAAATTTGATTGTACTTTCCTACGTTGGATTTCCCTATATAAGGGTCGCTTTTCACCCAATAAATCACTTGAACTCGAGCTTCTCGTCTTATCGTGTGGTTGTCGTCCGGCCCTCTCGACACTGCCAAAGCTCCATGCGGCGGCATGCTTCCATAACCACTATGTTTTGTTTTGTTGCGACTATGTACGGTTTCCAAAACAACTCAACATCCAACTTGTATAACAAAAACTTTATTCCGATAATTTTTTTTTCATCCGTTCAAATATTATTACAATCCGAAACGTTTTAACAATTCAGACAAAGAAAAAAGGGTGGGGGCGTTTTTCTTGACCGTTTATACAAAACAAATGTCGACGAGGAGGAGTAAATGTGGCTGGGTATGAAACGATTAGATGATAATTTGATGTGAGACAAACCCGTTTTTATAAGGTTTTTTTTGTTTTGCGAATCCGCCCGGATTCATTTGGGGCTGCCCTCACTATTCTACTATGGTATTTATCGTATGCCAAGAGCAAAATAGGGGGCGTTGTAGCCGTTTTAACAGAGAATTAGCGCTTTAAAGATCGTATTCAGACTGCTGGAGGGAGTGGGGGGATTTTTGATGACAAAAAAAGTTTAAAAAAAGTCGAAAAAGCAAAAATTGAGGGCTCAAGAGAAGCCAGGACGTCTCTAACTAACGCCTAGCTCTTTAAATTTGCCGTAGATTTGCCTACAACCACTTTTTCAGGCCAAAAATCCCAAGAACGCGTTGAAAATAAGCTCAAAGACGTCGAAAATGTGAGTGGGAGAAGTAATTTAGCATATTGTTTATGTTTAGTGTGTACTACGTATTTACAGTCATAACCAGAGGGGCCTACAGTCAAGTATTTTGCTACGTTCGGCTTTGTTTTAATGTCTGATTTAACGTTAAAAATATTCGAAAAATCGAAAAATTTCACGAAAAAACACTTTAATTTTGTCGAGAAATTTGATGTTAAATCAGACCCGAAGATTGTCTCGGCCTTGCAAAAGACCAACGTTTGAATGGATTATATCTGAGAAACTTAAAATAATATAATAATATGAAAATTTAGACCTGTTTTTGTTTTGTTTCGTACCGACTTTCGAAAAAAAAGAGTTAAATTGAGAGGAAAAGCAACGGCTAGAGAGAGAGGATTACCAGCTAGATTGGACACGTCTTAGAGACACTTTCTAATTATATTGAGGTTCAAAGACCTCAAATTTTCCGCTCAAACATGTTTCAGCGTATGAAATGTCTTTTTTCGGAGACATTTTCCAAAAACTCTTTGTGATCGCAAAAAGATTTTGAGGATTTTCAAACACCTCAAAATCTCCGCTGAAACATGTTTCAGCGTATAAAATGTCTCTTTTCGGAGACATTTCCCAACCACTCTTTGTGATCGCAAAAAGATTTTGAGGATTTCCGACGACCTCAAATTCCGCGTTAGAAACATGTTTCAACGTATAAAATGTCACTTTTCGGAGACATTTTCTGATCACTCTTTGTGATTGCAAAAAGATTTTGAGGCCTTTCGACGCCCTCAAAAAATCCGCTCAAATATGTTTCAGCGTATAAAATGTCACTTTTCGGAGACATTTTCCAACCACTCCTAGTGATCGCAAACAGATTTTGAGGCCTTTCGACGTCCTCAAAAAATCCGCTCAAACATGTTTCAGCGTATAAAATGTCCCGCTCTAGCCAAAACAGGGAGAACAAAGCAAACAACAAAAAAAATACAAACTCTACCCGCTTGAAAAACACAAAACTTGGGGAGGATATTCGCAAACGAAAACTGATACAAGGGGCAAGATATTTCTTGAGAGCGCGGCGCGCGTTAAGAGGAGGAAGGTGGTCGAAATTCGGCCCGCAGGCGAACTCGCAGTGGCAGAGATCAGTGGGGGGTAAATCGTACACAAAAAAGTCGAATCGGTATTAGAGAGAGAGAGAGAAAGGAAGAGGACGACGAAATGATGGCAGAGAACAGTGTAATCGATAACAATGTCGGGGCAACTCCCGTGTGGAATAGGACCATAGAATCTTATTATATCATCTGTGAGTGGATGGGTGGGGCCGCCGGGGGCTCAGTTTTTGACACCGGTGGATTCGTGTGAGATCCTGCAAAGATATGGATGAGCTTTTAGAGGCCAAGTATGATGTTGATTGGAAAAAAGCGAAATTTTACAATAGCCGATTACTCAAAGGATGAAGGTTTAGATTGTTTCAAATTTTTGCCAGTAGAGCCGCTAGGGGTCACATATCAATCCCAGAAAAAATTAGCGAGTCTCTTGCATGCATTCCCGAGATCTGTCGGAAAAAAGATGACTGAATTATTCAACTGTGTCTGCAGAGTTCAAACCAAATGTCAGGCCTCTGCAAGACTTCAAAATCCTTTTTTTTTGAACAGAAATGGAGCTCCCGAATAATGACTCCCTTTTACTAGCCATCTAATAACAATCTAAGACTTCAATGCTCTCAAATTCATATTATATGAGCTTTACTGTGCTATCTACTTTTTACTACGAATTTTTTAATTGCCATATGGCGTTTTTAAAGCCTTTGAAGACAATACTAATCTGTCGGGAAAATAATGAGCACTCTGTCGCATCGAAAATCGCATCTCCGCCGAGAAAATGAATTGTGTCAAAATCAAATTTCTTTCACTTCAGCGGCAAGATCTCGACATTGTGTCCATTATTTTCCCGACAAACTGATACTTTGTCCTTTATATCACCATAAATCCCCAGACCCTCGAAACCAACTCCCTTACCGTCCTTTCTTTGGTTTTTTCTTTCCCTTCACATCGGCCCAGTCCTCCTCGAACACCTCGTTCGTATCATTCGAAGGGGCGCTGTTTCCGTTGAGCATTGGACTCTCACTCCCTTGAATTCGAGTCTTCAGCAGCCTTTGTCGAACATCATCGACGGAGACATCTTCGCTGATTGTCTGACGACGAGCCGGCTGTTCGGCGGAGGGCTGAGCGGCCAAGGCGGCGGTTTCGGAGTGTTTTCGGGCGGAGGGAGCGGGCCATCGGGTTGGGTTCAGGCGGGTTCGGATCAACGGCATCTAAAACATGATATTTTTGAGGTTTCTCAATTTTTTTTTGATTTTTATTGTTTTTATGGCCTAAAAATCAAAGAGAGAGAAAAGATTTGAAGCACCCACCTCACTGTCCTCATCAGCCAGCTCCAGCACGTCGCTGTGTTGAATGGCGTCGATCAGGTCGTTGGGCTCCTGATGCAGCATCTTGACCCGCGGGAACTTGGCGATATCGCTGAGCAACACATAGCCGTCGGGGTCCATCCGAGAGCACAGGTACCAATCACGCTCAAGATTCTTCGGGGAGAAGTAGAATTGCCTGAAGCGAGAGTGAATTCAAAAAATTTCATTTTTGACTGTATTTGTCATACTTCTAGTTTTTTTTATAGCTTTGATAGGCGACAAAGAAGCGACAACTAAACATTATTTTCCCGAGAAACTCAAAAATTTGGCTTCGAAATTTACAAAGCATTGGTCATTTTAAGAAATTGCACGTTTTCTCACAGTACGTGTCGCGAAAATCACTTCAACAAATTTCGGACCATACTACAGTGTGTCGCCATAAATCGACATTTTATACGATGAAACATTTGGGAACGAGATTTGGATATGTTTCATCGTATAAAATGTCCCCAAAATACTGAGAATCTCTTCTTAGCGTGTGGACTCCAAAAAAGCTCGTAACCATCAGTCTGTCGGGAAAATAGTGAGCACATTGTCGCTGTCCCTAAAGTGTGGCTGAGGTAAAAAGCAGTTTGATTTTGCCGCGAAGACAATTCATTTTCTCGGCGGCAATGCGACTTTCGATGCGACAGAGTGCTCATTATTTTCCCGACAAAGAGATAGTATTAAAAATCCTATACTAGGGCCTCTAAACTCACAGTTGATATCGGAGAACCAGCAAGCGGTCGTTCCTTTCAAAGTTCTCAACAACTTTTGGATGCGAGGACAAGTCGCCGAGCACTTTATCGGTCCCATTCGGGAAGTACTTCTTCACCAACGCGCCAATCTCGCGGGCGAACTGAACCGAGCCCTCGGTGAGGGGGTAGCCAAAGTTTTGTTGGGTGTGAATGAATGAGGTGGGCGGCAGGCCGAACGGGTCCATTCCCGGCATGCCCATGAACTGGCCGACCGGCGGCGGCGGCACGGGGATCGGCGCCAGGACCGGCGGCTGCTCGTGGCTGGTGGGGCCGTTCGAGGTCGGCGTGCTGGTTTGGGGCAGGGAGTTGGCGGCGGTGGTGGCGGCGACCGGCATCATTCCCTGATACACGAGCGGCGGCTGCACGTACTGCGGCATTGAGGTTTGGCCTGAAATTTGGAGGGTTAGAAGTGAAAAAGGTCCGTTGGGAAAAAGATACGACTACTATCACACAGGCGGTACTATAGTGGGGGACCTGATCCAGTGGCAAATTGCATCCGGGAAGTATGAAAAATGTGGCAAAATGCTTCCCTCTCCAAGTGAAAAAAAACTTTGTTTTGAAAGGCGCACCCTTTTTCGAATTGGCCAAGTTTGGCCACACTGAATAAGATTTGTCCACTTTCTATCAGGGAAGTATCAAAAAATGTGGCAAAATGCTTCCCTGTCCAATTTAAAAACTCCGTTCAATCACTAAAAGAGCGGGCGCGCTTTTGAAATCTGTCTTTTTCACTTGGAGAGGGAGGTATTTTGTCACATTTTCTTGATACTTCCTAGTGGCAAAATGGTACGCTTTTTGCCACTGGATCAGGTCGTCACACAGCCCACAGAAAAGCCTTTACCATTGAATTGAGCAAGAGCGGCGGGCGGGAAAGGCATGAAGAAGTTGGCAGTGGGAACATTGTAGAACAAATTGCTCTGTGTGATGGGAATGAAGGCGGCGGCGGAGGTGGTGTTCACCGAGTTGTTGTTGGCGGCGCCGTTCACCGCGCCGAGGCCGTTCTGCCCGTCCTGCTGGCTTTGTTGCTGCTGCTGTTGCTGCTGCTGCTGTTGCTGCTGGACGGCGGCCATGAGTTGAACGGGATCGCCCATGTAATAGAGGGGGAAGAAGGGCATGGTGGGCATGGAATGCCGTGGACCCCGTTGTTGGTTGTTGGAGCGCTGATAGCGGCGCGGTGGCTGCTGATTGTTTTGCTGGTAGGTTGGGTTTTGGTTGGCGGACGCTTCCTTTTCATTGCTGTCGGAGGAGCGTTGAGTATAGGTGGCGTTGGACTGGCTGTCGTCGGTGTCGTTGTCGTAGCGACTGGCCGTGTATCTGAAGATGTTTTTTGATTAATTTTGAAGTTTTTTCCTCAAGTTTTCGTGAGTGGATTAATTTTGAAGTTTTTTCCTCAAGTTTTCGTGAGTGGATTAATTTTGAAGTTTTTTCCTCAAGGTCTCAAGTTTTAACGAGCTTTGTGCCCAAAAATTGGATTTTTGTAAACTCAGATGGCCCCTGTGCCTCTAGTCGGCATGTGAACTCGTAATGAACGTCTCCAGCTAACTGCGAAGCCAGCTAGAGCCGTTCAATGTTCATCCGTGGCACGTTCTCGTCATCGTTTACTATTCTTGTCAATTCTCAGTTATTGGGACTCGAACGTGGACCTTTTTGAGGCCCAGCCCAAGCTCTAACCTCTAAGCTATCGGGACAACAAGGTCTTTGGCATGAAAGAAGCCACTAACATGGCATGAAACTTGTAAAATATTCAATTTAAAGTATAATATCAATTGCATCTAATAAGTCTGTCGGGAAAATAGTGAGCACAATGTCGCTGGAGTGAAAAGAAATTCGATTTTGCCGCAACACTATTGATTTTCTCCGCGGCGATGCGATTTTCAATGCGATAGAGTACCCATTATTTTCCCGACAGACTGATACTAGTCCGTCCGGAAAGTCGCCGGACGGAAATCGGCGACATGCACTCTGCGAAATCGAAAGTTCACTTTGCACTGTGCAATTTTTGGCTTTTTGCACTGTGCAATAGGCTTTTTGGGGCTGTCGCTCGCACCCTGACTTTTTTCGCACAGTGCAAACGCCAAAAATCAGTCCGGCGACTTTCCGGAAGGACTAGTACTAATCGCGACATAAAGTCCTGACACATTTTGCACCGTGCAATCTTCTTTCATCTCATCCGCACTGTGCATCTTTTCGCATTTGTCGCCGCGAATTCCCGTTTTTGCACTAGCGACGTGCACTTTTGCCCGCGATAAACCCGAATTTGCAGGCGCGGCGTCCAAAACCCGAAGTTTCGCACCGTGCATTCTTCTTTCATTTGATCCGCACGGTGCAATTTTTCGCATTTGTCGCCGCGATTTCCCGTTTTTGCACACTTTCGCGTGCGACAAACCCGAATTTGGGGGCGCGACGTCCAAACCCCGAACTTTCGCACGGTGCAAAATGTGTCAGGACTTTATGGCGCGACTAGTACTAGTCGCGGAAAAAAGTCCTGGGATTTTTCTGTGACTCTGCACTGTGCATAAACCCGAAAAGTGCTTTTGCACAGTGCAATTTTGTTGATTTTGGCTTATTGTCGCGCGCGATTCCCGCGACAAATCAACTTTTCGGGGCGCGACGGAATTTGGGGGGCGCGAGAAAATCCCAGGACTTTTTTCCGCGACTAGTACTAATCGCGCTCAAAAGTCCTGACATTTTTCGCACCGTGCATTCTTCTTTCATTTCATCCGCACGGTGCATTTGTCGCCGCGATTGCACTAGCGACATGCACTTTCGCGCGCGACAAACCCGAATTTGCGGGCGCGGCGTCCAAAACCCGAACTTTCGCACCGTGCTTTCTCTTTCATTTTCATCCGCACGGTGCATCTTTTCGCATTTATCGCCGCGATTTCCCGTTTTTGCACTTGCGACGTGCACTTTTGCCGCGACAAACCCGAATTTGCTGGAGCGACGTCCAAACCCCGAAATTTCGCACGGTGCAAAAAATGTCAGGACTTTTGAGCGCGACTAGTATCAATCTTATAAATGTAGCTATCATCCTATATATCGATATTCTAGTATCTTTAGAAGCTTACCTCTTATGTGCCCGTTCCTTATCCTCCTCCTTCGCGCCATTATCACTATTGCCGGTGCTATCCGAATTATTGTATTTCTGGCTCAACTGGCGACCCGGCATCGACTTCCTGCCCTCTGTGCGGCGCTTCAAGTCCGCCGAATCCAACGACGCATGGCTTTGCGGTTGGGTGGGTCTGTTCGCTCGCCCGTTCGCACCGGGCCGTTTGGCGTTCGCGGGCTGATAGCTCACATCAATGTCCACCTTTCGCCAATGTGTTTTGGAGTTGCGGCGCTGGGCGCTGAGATCGTCGTCTTGCTCGGACGACTTGGGCGAATGCAGCTTCTTGCTCGCCACCGGCGACGACATAGACCCGGGGTTCAGGGGGCCGCGCACCAGGTTCGAGTTGGTGGCCACGGAGAGTTCGGGCCACTTCTCTTCGTCGCTGAGCGCCACCACCGAGTCCGAGAGCTCTTGGTTTTCGGCGTCGGCGGCGTAGTGCAACGAGGTGGAGGAACCGTGACTGGGCGACGGCTGAAATGTGCGGGTTAGGGCTTGATCGGTACAACCACGACATCAAATTTGCTCTAGGCCCAACTATCGGGATTTTGATGAAACTTTGCAAAGTCGGCCACTTTCAGCTTCCGCTGTCTTATGGAGCCTTCTATTACGGACAAAAAATTTTTGCTATATAGGGGTTTTGTTATAGAAAGTTCTTTCCCCTAAATTGGGGCTTTTGCCAAATTTTGAGCCAAAAAATCTTCATGGTTTCTGCAGGGTGCGCGTTAGAAATCCAGGACTTGTCTTACTAGCCCGTTCGCAAAGATTTTTAGTTCGAAATTTATCAAACATCCCAATTTTGGGCAAAACAAACCTTTCTACAGCAAAACCTTTATATAACAACACTTTTTGATTTCACGAACTCTTTACAGTTCGCTATACAGCGACTCCATAAAACAGCGTAAATTGAATTATCGATTTAAAAATTCCCCTTCATTCCGCATCCAAAACAATGATAACACCCTCTCTCGCTATATTTCCTTTCGTTTTTCGGCTCAAACCACCTACTTCCTCTTCAAATCTCGGAAAAAGAGAAAAGATTGTTCAGCCCGCCGAAGAGAGAGAGAGCGAGAGAGGGCCGCTGCTCATGAACTTTCCGATATAGTTTTTGCAGCGGATTTGTGGGAGAAACGGCCGAGCATTTGTCGGAAAATGGGCTAAATCGAGCAAAACAAGTCGCTAGATGTCTGTATAAGGTCTGTAGAAAGTTGAGTAGCCTTAATTTAGCCTTAATTCGACTTATTTCCAACCAAAACTTATGAAATGCCCCAAAAATCCCCGAAATTTTTCAAGTTTTCCCCGATATCGGGGTGGAAAAGCGGCGATCACTTACATTCTCGGCGAATGCGCTGTCCGAGCTGTGATTGGAGGCGTCGTGTTCGGCTTCGTCGGCGGTGGGTTTGGCGGGCTCTGAAATCGACAGGGTCCAATGCATCGCAGCCGACTGAATGTTTGTCGCTCTCCGCATTCGCCTCTGCGTCCCGCGAGGAACGCAACACGCTCCCCGGGGACGCAGCGATCTCTCCACCGCCCGGTGAGAAAGATCAGCGACAAGAGGGGAGCGAGAGAGACGCTGTGGCGGGCGAGAGAGACGCAGAGAAAGAGAGGAATGGAGGGCGAAACGTTTTTTTTTCTTTTCTTCGCTCTTTTCCCGCCGCCGCTAATGCGTCGAGTGGGGGAGCGATTGCTGCAGCAGGGAGGTAACGGGAGAGAGTCGCTGATCCACCCCTCTTCTTTTCTCTGCCTACCCGCGTCGGTTATGGGGCGAAAACGTTAGGCGCAGAGGGGTCAGTAAAACGAGGACTCGCGGAAAGGATTCGTAACATGTGAAGGCGTCATTTCCGTGTTTCAAAACGATCGCTCTTCGCGGGGAAGCGGCGGCTGATAGGATATGATGGGAGGCTCGAATGGGTGGGATAAAACAAAGAGCAGCCGAAAATCATATGGAATGTGGCTCGAATACGACAAAAAACTTGCCAACGAGCCTGTCGGACCGAGTTATGGCTCGGGTCTTATAAATCTTTGCGTGTCCAGAAAATCTGTCACGATGACACCTGTTTAAAATGTGCCAGTGGTATTAAAAAGGGCTGTATATGGCTAGTAGCACGCTTTAGAGTATGCTAAAAAAATCTGACATTGGAAACCTTCTCGACATAGAAAAAATCCATCAAAATCCAGAAAAAATCCGTCATCCAAATTGATCCAAATTGAACGTCGCAAAAGATATGAGCCTAAAATTTTTTATGTGCACACTAGAGGCAACTCCTAGCCATATACAGCCGTTTTTTATACCACTGTGATATCTTAAATGCCTGTCATCGTGACACATTTTCTGGACACACAAAGATTTATCAATCTGTCGGGAAAATAATGAGCCCAATGACGCTCCGCCAATGTCGTCGCTGAAGTGAAAAACATTTTGATTTTGCCGCGAAGACAATTTATTTTCTTGGCGTCGATGCGATTTTCCTTGCTACAGAGCCCGTCATTCTGTCGAGTTATTTTCTCGACAGAATGATATAACTCCTGAGCTATAATACCTGCATTCCATATCCGTTATAGGTCCTGCTTCTTCTTCCAAAACGCCTAACCTTCCGAAAAAATCCCCGCAAAAAGCACGAACCAGGAAAAGGTCCTCCTGCTTCTCGCGGCAAAAAAGACTGCCTATTGTCTGGAAAGAGTAACACATTCCGAAAAAGCCACCAAACTTCTCGCCGCAAAGGCGAGTGCCTTTAAGCGAGGTGTTAAAGAGGCCAAAACATCTTCCGGCTTAAGCGGCGCCCCTTAAACCCCCCTTCGGCCCCACCAAAAATTCCTATGTTTTCGTCGTTCCCGTGTGTGGGATATCTTTTCGCACTCCGCTCGCAAGATGACCACCCCAGAAATCTTGCTCCTTAAGCACCTCCGCCGCTTGTCCGCAGGTTGGCAAACAAGCTGCAGCTCTTTTTTTCCGAGGACCTGAGGGCGTTATGATCTCCAGGTTCCCGGGGATCATAACGCGTTGCAGATAGTGTTACACGAGTTGGCTAATCGTCGGCGGATTTGCGAGGAGAGCGTAGCAATTCGGAGAGAAGACAAAAGAATTCACTGGATGAGTAAGGAATGCGGGCAAAACAAACTTGGAAGATGGTTTTTGATCCTTCAAAAGTTTCAAAACATCTGATTATGACGAAAAAGGTCAAAAACAAAGGGATTGTCGTGTTGTTAGCAAGGTTGACGGCCATTTCAAATGAGCAAAGGAGGGTAAATTTTGCAAAACCTTGTTAAACTCAGCCTATACGCTATGGAAAGATTTTTTTTGGCTATAACTATGAAGGTAATCGATGGCAATCCACAAAATTGTATATACTGAATCGTCAGAGATCATATACAATGACTATATAAATTTTATAGCCATATCCCCTCAGGGCTTTTCTAAAATCACAATTTTTCGCAGTAAGAACCTGACTTGGGCAAAACTTAAAAAAATTATTATTGCAAATTGCCTGAGGGTCAATTGTAAAAAGTAGAAATCCACCAAGAAATAGGATACATGGTGATTCCAAAAATACATTTCTTGCAAATTCCGAACAATCACTTCCTAACTTTTTCGATAAAATAAACTTTCCACGGCTGACTGGGCCCCACTCCGTGCGGTCCAAACATTTGTTTTATTTTCATCCATTACTCATCTGAGATGGCCACCAACATTGATATCAGTCTGTCGGGAAAATAATGAGCATTCTGTTTCTGCGCCGATCGCATCGTTGAAGTAAAAAAAGCAATTTGATTTTGCAGTTTATTTCCTTGGCGGCGATGCCATTTTCAATGCGACAGTGCTCATTATTTTCCCGACAGATTGATATTCACAAACACAAATTGTTTGTTCAAGCCTTTTCTTATCATAAAAACGCTTTTCGAGACTTTTACGTCATCAAAAATCGTCTTCAAAGCTTCAAGACCACAGTAGAAAACACAGAATCGCTTTACTCACCTTCTTTCGGAACTTCCTTAACAACAACCTCCTTGGCCGCCGGCTCAACCTCTTTTTGCTCCTTTTTCTTTTCGATTTTGGGTGCAGAAGTCGCGCCAACCGTCTGCGCCCTGGGGCGACGTTCGGCCGGCTTTTTGTCGTCGATTTGTTTCTGTGTTTTCTTTGACTTTTTGTTGTGGGACACGATTTCGAAGCCGCCTTCCTCTTCCGGCTGTAAAGTTGAGCCACTGGAATTTCGGGAATTTGGCGACGCCACCTCCTCCTCTTCGCGGGGCTCTGACATTGTTCCGTTGGGCAAAAGTTCACCTGAAAGTCGGGGAGTTGAGTCAGCGCAAGTCTTTGGATATTATTTTTGGAAAGAGAAGGGTTTTGAGCGTTTTTGCTGATGCTATTGACGAGGATAGTGTTAAAAGTACTTTGGAAAGGCATAGAAAGGTCAATTCAAATATTTTTTTGAAATTCAATTGGTCGAGAATGGCAGGTCTCAGCTCCAGAAAAATCAAAATTTTAGGAAAATTGGCGGAGTCTCCGCTGAGAAATTCAAAGAAAAAAGTTACCCGTTTCGAGTGGCCCACCCTGTAAAATGCTCACATAATGTTGAAATTTTTTGATGTCTAGTCACATATCACTTCCTCAAAAAACTAACAAAGTAATTCGCTCTTGCCAGGAACAGCCGAGATATGACTCTGTCGGAAAAATAATGTCCTTGCGCCTTGGAATCGCTCATCATGCCTGTGCGACGGCTAGCCGCGGCTAGTGATGAGCGAGTGCGATGAGGCGAGACATTTTTCTGCGACAAATCCACATTATTTCCCCGACAGACTGATATTCAGCTGTTGCCATGGAAAACAGAGTGCGCTAAATTTATAGAGACAGAGAAAAAAAAATGTTTTTCGACAAGATTTCTAAATCGCTAGCGACTTTTGACTCTAAGCCCTCGGGCTGTGATAAAAAAGATTTGCTCAAATACCCCCTATATTTGAGAAAATCTTGTCCTTTTCAGTGGCCCTGGCGCAAGTTTAGACTGATTTTTTTCTTAGCTCGCGCTTTGCGAAAACGACAAAGGTTTCTTAGGCCAGAAGTCGGCAAAGGTTTCCTCGAAAAGTGTGAGCTAAAATTTGAATGAGAAGCTACGTGAATCTTGCCACATATCATCTCAATATGTGGCCACGTGTGTGCCAAATTCTAAGACAATCTAGGTGTCGGACTTGTGGTTATTCCCTTGTCACTTCTAAAAGGCTTTCAAGCCCTGTGAAAGCACTACAATCAATTTTTCAGCTGCTTTACTGCCTAAACACCGAATCGCCAAAGTCATCAAATCGCTTACCGGTCTGTGAATTTCTCAGCGAGTCCGCGAAGCTGGCCCACTTCTTCTCGGCCTTGTTTTCGTCGTGGGAGGCGACACTCTCGGCCATGCTTCCTCCGTCGTCGTCGCTCGCTCTCTTCTCTCCTCTCTCGCTGCGCTTCCTTCGTTACTAACACCAAGAATTGAATCGGATCACCGTCAGAAAAACGCACAGAGGTTCACTTCACTCCACAGTTTCCCCGACAATGTTTCCGCTGTTGTGTCTGCAGCAGGGCGAACGATGGTTTAGTATAACGAAATATGCGAAAAAACATGGAATGTAATGAGTAATAGCGCGGTGAATATACATTCCCAAAAAAAGGGGAGAATTTGATGACAAAACAAAAAATTTGGAGAAAAATTGAGAAAAAAAGAAAAAATCGATGAATATCAAAATTTTTATGAAACTTGGGACAAATTATCAGTCTGCCGGGAAAATAATGAGCACTCTGCCTCATCGAAAATCCCATCGCCGCTGAGAAGATGAATTGTGTTGCGGCAAAATCAAATTGCTTTTCACTTCAGCGACGAGCGACGTTGTGCTCATTATTTTCCCGACAGACGGCTTGTTATTTATTAAGGATACATGCGAGGGGCAGAGTAAAAAAAACCGAGATTTTCTGGTCGAAAAATGCAAGAGTTTCGAAATTTTTTCCAATTTCTGACGATGAAAATTGAGATTTTTTCGATCAACATGTGGAATAAAATTTTTCGATAAAAATACAATTTTTTTTGCAAAAAGTGGGCAAATTATAGCTGAAAATTTTTTTTGATCTCTCTCATTTTCCCATTGCCTATAAAAATCATCTTCAAATTTCGAAAATTTACTGTCAGTCTGTCGGGAAAATAATGAGCACAATGTCACTGAATCGATCGCGTCGCTGAAGTGAAAAGCAATTTGATTTTTGCTTCGACACAATTCATTTTCTCGGCTGTAATGCGATTTTCTATGCGACAGAGTGCTCATTATTATCCCGACCTTCTGACATCACGAGTATATTGTCTCAAAAGTCCCGGAAATCCGTCATCACGTCCTGTTTATGTGCCATGAGTCTTCCAGACAAAAAACAAATCAACAATTCAAAATTTCCGAAAAAACGATGACTTTTTGATAAAATTCAGGTGAAAAGGGGGGCTCAGACAAGATCGCAGCACACGTTATGTTGCACTTGGTCAAGTGACCAAAAAATAATTGATAATATCCGAAAATTTTTTTCAAAACCAGTCAAAATAATGAACATAGCCTAAGGCAACAATTTTTAAAAACCTCTGTATAACGAAACCTTTTTATAACAAACAATTTTAAAGGTTGTAAAAAACGATTTTAGGGGAAAATAAAGCTTTTTCTACAACAAAACCCTTCTATAACAAACATTTTTATTTTGTTTTACCATAGTCATTATAAAGGAGATGCACTAAAAATCAAAGTTTCCCCGAAATCTCCCCCAAAACAACGCTCTTTCCCAGCGGTTTTCAATCAATATTGAGAGGTGTTATTGGATCCTTTTCCGCCCCAAAAATCGATTGTTTTCACCCCAAATTAATTCGCGAATTTAGCCTCAAACCGACGCTACAATTGGAAATAATTATAATTGTCGGAAAAAATTTAATTTCTCGCATCCAAAGCCGCCCGGAATTTCCATGCGACGAGCGAAAAATTTGTTCCCCTAAAACGCGTCAAGTCTTGCGCTTTTTGGGCGAATTGCAGGGCGGGTCAAGTCTCGCTTCGTCGGGCGTTTTTGCCGCTCTCTGCATGCGGTGCGCTCTCTCCGTTATGAGGGCATTTGCTGTTGGGGAAACAGGGGAAAAGGGGGCTTTTCGAGGGGACGTTTTGGGAGAGGGCTCTGGGAGAGGAGGATGGTGGAAAAATAAAGGTTAGGAGAATGGATTAAAATATAGAAATTTTCTAGAAAATGTGGCATGATGACATAGTGGAATTGTTAGTAAATTCAATTCCCATTTTACAGAGGAAGTACTCTAAATACGACGCTCAGATTTCGATGAAACTTGGGACAAATTTAGATTAATTTTTAATGAGACATATGCAATACATGTAGCTTGTGCTTTGCATAAACAACAGAGATTTTTAGGATTAAAGTTGGAAAAAATGCGAGATCTTAATGGATTTAGAAAAATCTTCGGATATTCCAGAAAACGTGACATGATGACATAGTGGAAATGTGAATTGAAAGCCGAGATATTCGACGATCTTTACGTCCGAGCGAGACATTTTATACGACAAAACATTTTTCATCGTATAAAATGGCATCTCAGTTAAATTTTGGAAGGATGTGTTAAATAGGCTTCTAATCAATTCCTAGAAACTTTAGCACGCGCATTTCACGGACAGCCGAGATATTGAACGATCTTTGCGGCCGAGAGAGTACGCGTAACGCGGAGAGCGCCCCGAAAACATTTTTTGGCCATACTTTTGCCAGTTTCGCGCGGAAAAAATTGATTTTTTGTGGAAAGACTACACTCTGCGGTAGAAATAAATGTGAAACTTTTCATGCCAAAATTCGCAATAGGCTTATATTTTCTAACCATCTTTCAACCTAAAAATCTCGGTCTCTTCTTCAAACCGCGAGCTAGAAGTTTCACATATGTCCTAAAAATTTTTTTCTAACTTGTCCCACAATTTCATCAAAGTCTTCGTGTCGCCCTTCGACTACTCCTCCTTGAATAAATCGAAAAAAGGACGCGACTCTCGATTTTCACAGAAAAAATCAATTTCCCCCTCAAAAAACGCTTTGATTACTAAATTTTCTGGTCTCTAGTCCCAAGAAAATGCAATCATCCTCCTTCTGCGACAACAAAAATTATCGGTAGTAACCAAAAACTATCGCAAAACAACTGAAAACCCGAAGCAATCAACAAATCTCCCTCTCCTGTCAGCTGAAGTACGAATTGCCCCGAGAAAAGGCACGTGGCATCAAAAAACAATCCTGCTGCAGATTGGGGCAAGCGATAAAGTTTGTTTTCTGGACGCTTCGAGGGCAAGAAGTGGCGCTAAATTATTGAGGGCAAGGCGTCTGGGAAATTTTTGAGATGATATATTGTGGATAAGGACAAAGAAATTTGAAATGGAACTGCTGAAGGTGACAATTGTCGCATTTTGTTGACATTTGGCCAAGGTGGTCTACATTTATCAGCTAACTATTACTGAAAATATCAGCCTGAAAACTACAGCCACAGCCGAGATATTGGACGATATTAGGGAATGGCCTATAGGGAATAGCTCATAGAGAATAAAGCTTCATGATGGTATTATTTGCGCCTTGAAATCGTCTATCATCGCTTTGCGACTGCTGGGGATTTGGTGCGCGACTGCCACGAAGCGAGATACTTTGCTGCGAGAAATCCACATTATTTTCCCGACAGACTGATATCTTCAAATTTTGCGAAGTAAAAAATGATTTTTTTTAGAAATGGTCTCTACCGCGTAAGACAGGCACAACCAACTTTTTGCTCTACTACGCTCAAGAAATGAATCGACTTTTCGCAACTTTCGACCGCAAGATCTTGACTTTTCTGCTCTTCGGACGCATTAGGGTAAAAATGATGATTACAACGCAAATTAAACATGTCAATAATCTCTTAAACTACAGAAAAATTTGTCGTACTACTATAGAATCCGTTCATGAAGTTGCTGGAGTGACTTTTGCGACATGCACTGTGCAAAAACAAAAGCTCACTTTGCACTGTGCAAATTCTTGCTTTTGGCTTTTTTGAGCTCTCGCTCGCATCATGACGTTTTTTGCACGGTGCATGTCGCAGAAATCACTCCGGCGACTTCACAGATGGACTAGTATCAGTCTGTCGGGAAAATAATGTGGATTTGTAGCAGAAAAGTGCCTCGCTTCGCCGCTGTCGCGTATCAAATCTCCCGTCGCGACTAGTCGTCGCAAAAACCGGTAATAAGCGATTCCAAGACGCGACAAATCCACATTATTTTCCCGACAGACTTATATTGAACAATAAAAAAGATCTTCTCAAAAACTGAATCGCGAATTCTTGCCGTTTATTGTAAGCAATTTGATAGCCTCTAAACACTTCTAGCGACTTGAAGCACTAAAACTCCCTGATCCCTTTCTGCCCCAGAAATCGACTCGCCGCAAAACAAAAATATCGGAGGCGAATCTTTGGTCGCTTTTATCGCAAGCCGTCAACAAAAAAGACTGTTTGAACAGAGAGTCGGAAAAACAAATTTATGCTAATTTTAACGTTCGAAATTGCGATCCTATGAAATTAATCGTTTAATCACATCAAATGGAATTATTTCGGGCCATTTTGATGGCCCAGGGAGAATGGGTTGAAATTAAAATTTGAAAAAAATGATTTTTTTTTTAATTCCAGAAAATGCGTCATGATGACGAATTTTTGGGAAAATTGGGAAAGAAATAAAAATTGAGAAAAAATCGACTTTTTTACCTAAAATAAAGAAAAATAAAAAAATGAAATTCAAAAAAATGCGTCATCATGACGCATTTTTGGAAAACCAAAAAAGAAAATTTAAAAATTTGATTTTTTTAAAAAAATAGAAAAAAAAAATTTTTTTGAAATTCCAAAAAATGTGTCATCGTGACGCATTTTTTCGAAATTTTTAAGATCAAAACAAAATTTAGCAAAACGAAAAAAATCAAAAAAAAAGCTAATTTTTTCTATTTTTAAATTCACAAAATTACGTCATGATGACGCATTTTTTTAATTCTCAAAATAACTCTAAACTGATTATGTTTTTGTAAGCCTACTATCGAAAACACCGCCAAACTGACAACAAATCGCATCGCAGCCGACTCTCCGACGCTCGGAGAGAAAAACGCGAGAAAAATCATCAAACTTTCGAAATTTGAGAACATTCTTTGTAAGTCTACACAAGAACGAGAGGGTGCGAGAAAAATCGATGAATCACGGTGGAAAATTGAAATAAATCTCGATTATGAATAAAGATATTGATAAAATAAAAATTTTTGTCGGAAAATTTCAAAAAATTCAAAAAAAAAGTATGTTAAATTTCAAAAAAATAATGTTTTTAGGGCTCGGAAAGTGTATACAAAGTGTATGAAGAAA